TGGATTCTCTGATGAATTTGTTTGATCGCAGTCTACTTTTAACTCTACAAAATGGCTTAAAATCAGTTTAGTCACTTTAAATTATTAAATGGAAAGATGAAATGTAAAAAATTAAGGGATTCTTAGATCACATGGAGCTAAGTGGCATATACTCTTTTCAAGCTCTTTAGTAATTTTATTCTCTTCTGATTCAGATCTTTTCTGGGAAGAGGCCAATGTTAGTTTCTTACTTCAAATTTAGCATTTTTAATTATCTGATTATTTTAAGAGTTTCTTCTTGACCTAATGTATTACGCTGATGCAATTACTGGAAGTTCCATTCACATTTATCTTCCAAACAATTTGGATAGGTCATTATCTCATGTTAGTCGCCATCTCCTATCATTTAAAAAAAAATTCTTGGTCTCTTTTATTATTCCCATAAATCCAATTGGTTTGGGGCACAGGAGTCCCAGGGACTGGGAATTCTCAGTCAACTGGACACTTTATTTAATGCAGTAATCCTAGGATGCGATGCTACTTGGGCCCTGCAGTGCCAGGAAGTATTTGGCCCACCCTTCAGTTCTTGGGAGCCTCCAGGGCCCCATTCACTGGTTCTCAAGGAACCGTGATTCTAGAGCTCAAACATGACATGTACCTGGGTTACACTTTACTGCTGCTGCTAAACACTATTGGCTCTTAACTCCAATACTTTCCCCAGTGTATTTGCTTCTATGCCTTGGAAACTTCAAATGTCCTATCCATGATGTGACTGAATGTGACTTCTGAATGATCAAATCTACTTTGGAAATTCTCTATTGAATACTTTTTATTGAATTTATTCAACTTCAGGGTTTTAATGACTTTTTTTCTTTTTTGGCTTTTTGGGTCACACCCAGTGATGTTTGGGTATTACTCCTGGCTCTGCATTCAGGAATTACTCCTGGTGGTACTTGGGGGACCATCTGGGATACCAGGGATCAAACTCAGGTTGGCCACATTCAAGGCAATATATTGCTCCAGACCCTCTAGGGTTTCTTTGGGGGCAGATTTGTTACCATATTTCACCACATAATTATTGCAGACTTTGTGCCCTGTTTTTGCAAAGAAGTGTGGTGTAATGGTGATTTGAAACTTTAAACATACATATTTATATATGTATATGTGTATATATACACAAAATGTACAGATATTGATGCAAGGAAAACAGGAAGCTGCAATTATGCTGTGGGGACAGTTATACTGTAAAATATAATCAGAGGATTATTCTGATTTTTTTCTTAAATAGATCTCCATCACTTTAGGGTCATGTTGGAGCTTTACTAATTATTGGATGTTTTTGGTTTTGTGTTTTCCTATATACATGATATTTTAAAAAGTGATCTTTGATTCCTTACACTTGTATCTGTACTTTATCAGACTTTAGAAATTTACTTCTAAGGCTCTGATGATTCTTTACCAATCATCTCAGTTTGGATCTTCAAGTTCTATATGCTGACGTTAGGACACTGAGGTCTGTTAATATGGCCTATTTGGGTATGAAACAACTTCTCAGGTTTTATAAACTAGGATTGGGTTATAAACTACTGACTGCAAGCAGTGGGAAACTACTTGGTTCCCTTCCCAGAAAAGACTGAATGGTGCACTTGTAAGTCCATCCACGAACTGGTTCATGGACAGCTAATTATAAAGCAAGCAACAGATCAGTGGTTTGGGGACCATTCTACAGCTGTGGCCTGGCCATGGTTCATGGACTGGACTGTGAGATCTAACATAGGCTTGAACTAGTCTAAGTACTGGGTACTGTATTCAATACTCAGTGAGGTTATGGATTGGCAGCATGCTGACACAGGGGCCTATAGCATACTGGGTAGGTGTGTATTTTGGAAACCTACAACTAGCTTGAGTGGGTCTTGAATTCCTTGTGACATCAGCAATTTTGTTCTGAGTCGGAAGGCCCCATGCTGTGCTTGTTTATATGCCACACTAGACTGGGATATCCAGCTTTTCTCTGGTCTGGTTGTTTTCAGGTCCAACAGGCTACAAATTTATTCCCTGCGATGAATGAAGTGGGACTTCTTTTAAACCCTGCAGAGTTCTTTGTCATCTTGGCTCAAGCCAACGCATCCACTGCTTGACCTGTTTTTGGCTGTGGTGTTGCTACTTGGCCCCGCAGTCAGGGATGCTGTCCTTTATGTCAGATGGGGTGGGAAGGCACTCTCCACAGCAGGTGGATTATGGCCCTGGTTCCCTTGCTTGGGTAGGAAAGGAAGGGGTCATTTCAGGTGAGTTTTAATTTCCAGGTGATCAGGTTGAGAGAAGGTAGATGTGACTTACTTCCTTAGCAAGGAGTTAACCTCTCAGTTTATAGATAGCAGAAAAGAAAGGCTCTACAATGCTCCAAACTGTTTTTCTCTGGATAACAATCAGTAACATCCTCTGCTTCTGGTGGTCCAGTTCTGACAGACCCTGGTGGTGACACTAGCCTTTCATGTCATCAAATGGAACAGCTGGACGCTGCTCTTTGTACCAAGTCGGACTGTGATTCTGCACCTTGCTTGGGAATGAGCAATCCAGGACATAGGGCCAGTAAAATATTTAATTTGAGAACATCAATCAGGCAGGTCCTCACCTTAGTGCACTTCAGACTGGGCTCTGAAGATGAATTAAACAGCTAGGTCAACAGCTGAGATAAACAAAGTCTACCAAGATCATGTGTGCTGGCAGTGTAAGTTTTTCCCCTCCATCTCAGACTGCAGAGCCCTAGTGATCTTTCTGATATCCCCTGGTGTAGGACCAAAGTAGTAACCCCACAAAGTAAGAAACAGTACTAGGACTTAGTTTGGAATTTTCAGTGTCACTATGAAAAGTCACCGACTAATGATTTGATTAGAAGTCAAATATTTGAAAGTCATGACTATTAATGTACTTGAGGGCTACAAAAATTAAGTCAGCAGAGTAAATATGTGTTCATATATTCATCATTTAAAGAACAACTGTCACACTGAAATGTAAAAGAATGTAAAGGGTAGATAAAATTCAAATTTTTAAAAACAAAAGACTTCCACAGTAATCTTCAACCTTAAAATGAGAAAGACAATCATATTAGACTTGTAAAACAATTTTAATTTGTACTCAAAGTTTGATATCATCAGTAGCCCTTACGTTACATTTGAAAAATGGAGAAAACCATACATGGATAAACAGAAACTACAAAGTTTCAAAAATATTCAAATAAGGCAGAGAAAACTCCAGATACACAACAATGTCAAACACATTTTCATGTTTTCCTATCTCATAAAACATAAATATTATCATTTATTAAGAATAAGTTTTAGATATACCCCTTAATACCAGTATGTCTTGCTTTAAAAGGAAAGCTTGCCAGTAGGACAATTTTAAAAACTGACCCGCAGTTTCTTTCTTTTTTTTTAAATCCCAATCTAGCTGTATTTAAAGAATAAATATCACAATCATGATGAACTATTTTATCTCCCCCACATGTAAGTTACTAGGCTTTTATGATAAATAAATTATTTAATAGCCTATTACTGCTTTAGATGTAGACTGACTAAAGTATGCACCTTTGCAGACAGACAGAAAATGCTCAAATACAGTTAGGAACAAAAAGTGAATTTTAACAGAAGTTACTAGGCCTAACAAAACTCTAAAGATACTGATGAAAAGTGCTTCTGTTAACATAAACTATTATTGTAGAGTGTTGTTTGTCTTGGGATGATTACTCAGTAGCTTATCTTTGAGTGAAAGCAAAAGCAGAGAGATTTGTTACTCATTAGACATAGGGGAGAGATGACAATTTTATTTAAAAAAAACTTCAAGATTGGTAATTCAGTGGTAGGCATGGCAGAGCAACAGACTTTGAAGAGGTGCAATCTGTACTCCTAAAACATATGTTGTGAGTCAATATTAACTCAATTTTAAAACATTAAATGTAAAACAGTAGCTTCCAAAAGCACAGTAGGACTATGCCCCACCCCCCTAAGAGGGCACAGGTTATACACTTCCAGTTAATTCTGACACTGCAGACTTTACAATCTTCATTAAAATAACAAACATCTCTCAGGCCTGAGCAATAGCACAGCGAGAAGGAGAGAAGGGTGCTTGCCTTGCAAGTGGCTGTCTGGGATTCAAATTCGATTCCTGGCATCCCATATGGTCCCCCGAGCTCACCAGGAGTAATTCCTGAGCATTGCTGGGTGTTACCCAAAAACCTAAAAACAAAAACTAAAAACAAAACAAAACAGAACAAAACCAAACATCTCAACGTCAAATAACAATAGAACCCTGTGATGAATTTTTGTTCGTACCAAAAAGCATAGTAAGAAATTGTTTTTGCTTTTCATAATGGTGCTTGTTTACAGGGACAGACAGTGCCTCTGCCACGTGAGATGTACACCATCTGTCAGACGCAGTGCGGGTCTACAGGATCAGTTCACTAACAACATAAATAAATGTGACCAGCGCCAAGATTCAAGTGTACATGACTCTTGAAAAACACTTAAGTTGGCTTTTTTCTTAATAAGCAGTTTCTCATGACCAAGTTCTAGGTAACACTGAAAGAGAGTGAATCTTCACTGGTGTCCTTGGTCTTTAGGACATCTGCTCTTCCCTTACCTCTTTATATAAAATCCTGTATTGTTCATTAGACCTCTAGTAATATCTGTCCCATTTCAGCTCTCATCCTTTAGCCCTAAGGTGGACTTCATGTAAACCAAAAACATAACATCACATGGTAACAATATACAAAGCATCCCAAAGTGCAAAATGTTACATCTAGCTTCACCTCAGTATTTTATACAGTACAGTTTGAGTGTCTTGGCTATAAATAACACCACTCAACTAGTTTAAAAGGTTGGCCACTCAAAGTAACCAGATCTCTTTTTACATAGGGTTAATACAATTGAACTATACAGGCATTTGTTCATAGAGCTTACTCTTAACGTGTATACATACATATATACATATATATACATATACATACATACATACATATATATGTATATATAGATTACACACACACACATAATTTTAAATGCTTTGTGAATGTGTGTGGATAGCCAGACAAACCACAGACTTAAATTTTCTCAAAGCTTGGTTTCTGGTTTTCACACTTTTAGTAGTCAACATTTAAAGAAAAATAAAAGTAATTTGCAACACAATTCATTTGATTTCTTTCTGCAAGACCTGCTCACCCTGTAACTCTTTTGGCAGGGTTCTGGACCTCTGCAAAACGGCACTGAGTTCTTCGATGACCTTCGACGGTAACTTATGATCAGAGTCCAGAGCAGCCTTGTTCCTATCCTCGACCTTCTTCAATGTCTTTAGGTTTTTAAGGCCCTTTTGCTGCCCATGAAGGATCCCGGCCTCTGTGTCCTCCAGACAATTGAAACTCCGATGCTTTCTGTTTCGATTTCGAAGTTTTTCATCCTTGTGCTCCAGGCACTGGGCCACTAGGGAGGCTTTGTCCTTCAAGGTGTGGTCCCCAGGCTCCTGATCATGCTTTTCACTCAGCCGTAGTTTTTCAAGTTCTGCTCTCGCACTCTAAAAATAAAACGAACTGTTTCACAGGAAAGCAAGATATGGTATACTTTAAGTAAAAAAAAAAAAGTCCATTCCACACAGAGGTTGATGCTTCTGTGAGTGTGTTGATGACCTAAGTTCTATCTTCCACACCTGGGACCTGTTTGATTATCTATCCCCATCTTAGCACTACCCAGGCAACTAAACTGGAGACCTCACAGTAATTTTCACATGCTTTTTCACAGAGGTCTTTCACATGATTTCAAATTGCGTATCCTTGATAGTTTACCTCATGCAACTCACTTATGCCTGGGTGTCTCATGTTCTTACATCTGCAATTTCTATAACAACGAGCTGAAAGCACTAAGGGCGTGTCTCATGGACATCAGCTCGACTAGAGCCCACTTATTGCAATTCTCAAAACATACTGGCATGCTAAGAATGTCGGGACCACAGAAAGTATGGGGGTGATGTGCCTGCTTTGCATGTGGCCATCACTGGTTTGAGCCTGGTGCTGCATATGGTCCCCAAGCACTGCCAGGATCGACTGCTGAGCAAGATGCTCACGGTTAGCTCCTGAGGACCACTGGGTCTGGGTCGCAAACTCCCACTGTGGAAAATGTTTAAATTAAAAACAAGGATGCTTCAGAGTACCTTTGTTTTTTTAAAGATAGGGATCCCCTACAGTGGTGCTCAGGAGATATGAAATACTAGGAATGAAACTCATACCTTGCCGATACTGGGCATACTCTTTTCTCCCAGCCCTGCTGAGAAGAATTCTTTCAGAGAAATCTACTTCTTTTTATGATTTCCTATTAAATAATTAACTAGTGAGTCTTTCCCTCCTTCTCTCCCTCCTTCCTTCCTTCCCCTCCCTCTCTTCTTTCCTTTTTTTGGTGGGGTTGAGAGGGAGTATCTCTGGCATTGCTGAGGGATCACTCCTGGCATGGTCTGGGACCATATGGGGTGCCAGATTTGAACCCAGGCTGGCTGAGTGTGAAGCAAGTACCTTACCTGCTGTACAGCTGCTGAAGTGAGAATACACAACAGACACCTAAGTAGTGTTTAAATTAATATTCCCTCAAAAATTAAAAAAATATATAAACTTTGAGAATTGACTATTTCCCCAAGTTTATTAACATTAGTTAAGAATCTGAAATGGAATCCTGGTTTAGCTTTTCTGAAACCAAGAATATGCTTCTTTCTGCCTTATCCAACTGGGCTCCAGGGGTGACAGGGAGGGGACATGTTTAATAGGCAACGGTCTAAAACAAAATATAGTAAGAGACTTAACTGCCAAGGGCAGCAGAAACAAGGGTCAGGATGAATGGTCCATGGTTGGAAAACTGCCTCAGGGCTGGAAGAAAGGGTAGCAGGGACAGAGAAGGTGCAATTTACGACAATAATGGTTGAAAGGAATCATTCCAGACTGGAGATATGGGTTGAAAGTGGACAAACAACCAAACATGATGGCCTTTGGTAATTGTATTGCAAACCATAATGCCTTAAAAGGGGGGAGAGGGAGAGTGGGAGAAGGGGAGAGAGAGAGGGGGGAGGAAGAGAGAGAGAGAGCGCCTGCCATAGAGACAGGCTGGGGAGGTGGCTGGAGGGATACAGAGTGTGAGGATATTTGTTGTGGGAAATGTACACTGGTGGAGGATGGGAAATGGAACATTGTATGACTGAAAATCATGAAAGCTTTGTAACTATCTCATGGTGACATGGTGATTCAATTACAAAATATAAAAACAGGTGACATTCTAGGTCATTATTTTCTGCTGCAAATGCATTATTTTTGTTGTCCAGGTGACATTCTTACGAGGAATGGCATTTTTTTTTATCAACCAGTGATTGGTTCATAATGACTTCCAAGTTCCTTATTGTTCTGTCTCAGTAAGGATCAGGCATTATTCTAATAATATCTCGTGGGTTATATTCAGTGTACACGACAACCCTATGTGGTGGGTTCTGCTGTTATTCCACAGTAAGAAGATGAGCACAGAAAGGAGCTACCCAACATTTCACGGAGCAGAAAGCCAAAAGGTCTCGGCTTACAGCACAGCTGTGCGCAGAAGCTCTGTGTCCCTCACTGTTTTGGCTGTCCTTCACCAACAACTCGTTTTCCTCATTTACCCAATTTTTAAAAAAGTCATTGTATCTAGGGAAGACTTTACCTGCCTAAATGAAGAAAATATATTTTATAGGTCTCATGAAAGACAGGTAATCTAGTCATGTGGCAACAACTGCTGGAAAAACAGTTCTTGAATATGCCCACTTATATTTTAAGTGTATGTTCTACCTAGAAATATTTTACATTATATTTTCATCTTTAAATGAAGAATCAAAAGTTGTCTAAAATATATTTCATTATGAAATTAACTTTCATTTAAATATTTAACATGTTAATGGCTGACATGAGAAAATTTTCAATTTTATACTTTTTTAAAGACTTTAAATGTTTTTCCAACTTTGAAATATTTTTAAAATGCCTTTGGAAAAATTTCTGAAACATCATATCACCACATTTACCAAATTTATAGAAAAGTTTGGTGTCTTGGGTACTTTGATAGTGATTTAGCTGCATTGACTTTGTATATCAAAACCACAGACATTAACACCATTGTAACCTTGTTATCCAGACTCCATTGGGCTATAATAGCACGTGACAGGGACGAATGGAGACATTATTGGCGCCCGCTCGAGCAGATCGATAATAGACAGGATGACAAGTGATAAGTGATGCCTCTTGAGAGTCGAGCAAGCTATCAAGAGTATCCCGCCTGCACAACAGAGCCTGGCAAGCTACCTGTGGCGTATTCGATATGCCTGAAACAATAACAATAACAGGTCTCATTCCCTTGACCCTGAAAGAGCCTCCAATCTGGCAGTGCTGGGAAAGATGAGTAAAGGAGAGGCTGCTAAAATCTCAGGGCTGGGATGAATGGAGATGTTACTGGCACCACTCGAGTAAACCAATGAACAACAGGATGACAGTGATACAGTGAACCTTGTTATCCAAATTATAGTACAATTACCTTTTAAAAAAGCAGAAGAATTTTACAAAATTGTCTTAAACTCTAGATTTGGGATATGAAGCTATTGTATATTCAGGTATTATACTAATTTTCTACTTGATATTCTTATTGTACCTTGATATTAGCAATTTATCAAGATGCTCACAATAGCATATATCTACTGGTTATGTTTGATTCATTCTCTTAATGTAAGTCAGTTCTAACTTAGATTGGACTAACTGTATCAGTCAGGACTAGCAGACAACAAAAGGAATTAACCATTATTTTCAAAGCGTTTATCTTTTAATAAGGAGTAATGTAACAGTGAGATCAATAGTCAAAGAAAGATAGGTATGGGAAACTATAATTTAAACATGAGATTCACATTGCTTTAGTCTTGAAATGTATTTGTTTAGAAAACAAGAGACTAAAACATCTTAATCCTTCAGCTCAAAGAAGACATATTAATACATTTCATATGCTTTTCCCCTTTTTTTTTCAGGAATTCAATTAAGCCACTGACACATTCCTGAGTCCCAATGGGTGTAATGAGTTCTGGGGTAAACAGCCTGTCTCCTTTCCTGAAGCCTGACTTCAAGACTGATTCTACTGTAGTTTTCCCCTGACCCTAAAGCTTAGAAGATAAATTGCTATTTTCTTTAAAAATGCCAAACATTTACCGATCCTCAGGGGCTATCATGCAATTATTTAAATGAATCGAGACAACCCATCAGTTTTCAAGCAACCAGAATTTGATAGCATTATTAGAAGGTCTAGTTACCATGGTTCCAGACATACTCTGCCATGGGCTCAAATTAAGGGAGGCTGTTAGAGGTGAAGTTGTAGAACTCTTTTACACCAGAACTCCTAGAGATAGTCGTGAGAGTGAGAAAAATTCATGATTTTTTGTGACAGTTGTAATTTTTACTATGCTTGTCAAAGTGTTTATTACTGTGCTTTCAAAGCCAATAAATGAACGCATTTAATCATTTTAAGACATAGAAAATGAATGCTATCATGAAACCTACCTCTATATTTCTCAGGGCTTGGCTTGCATTTCTCTCATGCTGAATGGGAATCAGAGGCAAACCTCCGATTTTGGGGTTTTTGGTTATTGAGCGCTTCCGTTCCTTCCCAGCTGGTGGACATATATCATTCTCATGCTGTGGAAACACAATTTCTTGCTGTTGGTTTGTGATTTTATTATGTAGGTCAGCACATAACATAGTCACTTGGCTCCTTTTCCACTATCCAAATCAAATGGTCTGCTTTCCATGAGAATGCCATTTATAAGGAAGGTGGGGGCTGGGAAAGGGTTGATGGGAATATAAAGCTCTGAAGTGAACTGAGCTTTGAGGTCTCAGTTCAATCTCCAAGCTTTCAAATACATGCCTTCTGTATTAATCAAACTAAAAGGGGGGTAGTATTTGAGGGAACAAACAAACCTCCTTGAGGGGGGAAATATAATACACTTTCCTATGTTTCTAGGTTCTGTAAGCAAAGTCACTATGTTCATTTTCTCCCTTCACCAACGATGACTTCAGTGCTAAAATAATTTAACCTCAGTATACACAAAATCAATCTCAGGCATGGTTAACAATAAATTAGACTGTTTTATGACCTTTTGAAACAGATTACTGTTTTTATCTAATTTAAATTCTAAAGAAATATTACCTAATACCTGGACATTTATACCAGAAAACACTGTACAATAGAGAAAATGGGACATTTGTTCTCAGATTATTGACAAATTCTACCCCACTGAGCAGATGGCTAGTGAAAAGTTAATTTTTTGGTGGCGGGAAATATCCACAGGTAAAAATACAAGATCTTGAGTGATAAATCTTGAGAAATGGATATGAAAGAAAATCTTTAAAGACGTATTTAATCATCAGGTAGATTTGTTTTTCAGAAGTTGGGAAAAATTTATTTTCAGATAATAGTCTAAGATACTGAACACTAACCATAAAATGTGAAGTTTACAGCTACAATATTTAAAAAAAAGGCCCCATTACTCTACATTCAACTTCAACCTAAAATTCCAAGTATACACTTGGACAAATCTTGAAGTTATATTACAGGGGACTACCATCTTCACTCTAAAGACTATGTGAAAATTATTCCTTCAATTTCTATTCTGCACCTGTGCCTCTAATATTCCTCCTCCTTGATGGTGATTGCACTGATTTATGCCCAAATCAACAGTGATTTAAAAACTTTTACTATTATGAAATATAGCATCTCTTTGCATCAAAAGTCCTAAGCCCTCTTCCAATCAATATTTTCATTCTGATAACAAATTAATTTTTCTAGTCATATATTCACCAGAGCATAACATATAGTTAATAATTTGAGAACAGGGAACAGATAGTACTTGGGTAAGGTGCTTGCTTTGCTCGCAGTAAACCCAGGTTCAGTTCCTGGCATCAAATATTCACGCCCCACTGGAGTGATATCTGACTACAGATCCAAGGGAACTGCCAGGAGTGTCCCCAAAGCCTACAACAACAATAACAATAATAATGGGCTGGAGCAATAGCACAACGGGTAGGGCGTTTGCCTTGCATGCCGCCAACATGGCCGACCTGAGTTCGATTCCCTCACGCCCCTCGGAGAGCCTGGCAAGCTACCAAGAGTATCTTGCCCGCACGGCAAGATACCCGTGACGTATTCGATATACCAAACACAGCAACAAGTCTCACTATGGAGACGTTACTGGGCCCGCTTGAGCAAATTAACGAACAATGGGAGGACAGTGACAGTGAATAATAATTAATAATAATAATAATAGTAATGATCTAAGAACAAATGTACACTTGCCCAAGATTCCTTCCTGTCTACTAGGATCAGGGCTGCATTTATTTTTTCTTTTAGTTACTGGGCTGCCGGAACAACATATGTGTAAAGTTTGCTCTTTCTCATCTTAAAGACAAATAAAGCAAAACTCAATAAATTAAAATTTTCTTATGCTTGACCTTTAAAGTTTATAAGGCTGCAGTATTTATTTGTATACAGTCTTTCTCATCTTTATCTCTTTCTCCGAATCCCTCTGCCTCACATAATCCAAACCCATTTAGACTACACTCTAAATGCAGACGCCAAATTTCATTCCAGTCCCAATTTCCTTTTCAATATATTCATTTGTCATCAGGCACCTCAAATTTCCTGTGGCCAAACAATCTCAATTTTATTCTGTACTTTTGATAATATCATTTAGGTTTTTTCATTGTCCAAGGTCAAAAACACTATGGTTCTTCATTAATTTATACTGTTCTCAAATCAATCTGCAGTAATATTCTTGCATACTAAATATGTTTTACCAAATCCACTGGTTCTACCCTGGTCTGAGCTGTTATTTTCTTTCTCATAGCTGTTTTTCTGCTGCATTATGGTTTTTCTACAGTGTAATCTCATCAATACAATTAGAATTACTATATCAATATGAATCATCTTTTTGTTTCTCAAGCTCCCAGATTGGGATGTCACTTGTGCCTTCCTTCTCATCCCTTACATCCTGTCTCACAGAGGCTTTTGTGATATTCAGAGAATAGTCAAGACTGGACCAAGTCTCATACACATTTGGGCTTTCTCCCTGGTTGCACCCACTCTTGAATGGTTGCAGTTCATTCAGACCTGAGAACATCTGCAGTTACTCAGTAAGACATTCCCAGGAACAGATCTCAGCATCTTTCACATCTACTGCATTATTGCTCCCTTCCTTTTTTTTTTTTAAATCATCACAATCATACCTATTTGAAATTTTTTTAGATTAAATGGTTTTTCCCTTTCAACACTGTAGAAATACTAACCATGTAGTTGGCAAAAGGCATTGGATTCTGTGTGCACAAAAGCATACAAGTCTAATAAGAATCCTGTGCCCTACTTTCATAGAGGTGACATTTTGGTACGAGAGGCTGAAAAATATAATTATACTAGTTATGTTCAATTAAGGCTGCAATATTGAAATACAGAATACAAGCTGAAAATCAAATTAGTCTGAAAGTCAGGGAAAGTCTGAGATGGAAGCTTGGGAATGAGGGGATGCACAGATGATGGGTGTAGCACTGGATAATGCCTGAGAGAAAACAGAATTTCAATTAAAAAATCAAAAAGAAATACAAATTATAAAAGAGAAGAGGACTTTGAGAGAGGGCTGACGGAATGGACATTAAGAGTAATCCAGAGCCCAGAGACATTGTTTGATTGATGGAGCACATTGAGGTACCATGGGATCCATCCCCGGCACCATTGGAAGTAGATGTATTCCAGATCCCAGACAGAGCTCACTGAATTGTGCTTGTATACTACTGGTGACTGGGCTGGAGCGATAGTGCGGCAGTAGGGCGTTTGCCTTGCGCGCAGTCAGCCCAGTGGGTTCGATTTTTCCACCCCTCTTGGAAAGCCTGGCAAACTACTGGGAGTATCTCGCCCGCATGTCAAAGCCTGGCAAGCTACCCATGACGTATTTAATATGCCAAACACAGTAACAACAAGTCTCATGATGGAGACGTTACTGGGCCCGCTCGAGCAAATCAATGAATAACGGGAGGAACATGACCGTGACTGTGACCGTGACTACTGGTGACTACTTTCCTGCTGTCTAAGGAGATGAACTATTAACTCCTGAAATCCAAGAGGACCTCTTATTGGGCTGAGGGCTCTTAAGTAGAGCTCAGGGGCTCCATTGACAATTCTCAGCCCTGTTGGCTGGTGGCTCAGTACAAGGACCAAGGAAGTGATGGTGCTCAAACCCTACATGCTGGGGATATCTGGGCCACCTGACAGTGATCTGGGTTCAGCAGGAACATGTTCTACAGTGCTAGAGGCCTCAGGACTGCATCTGGAGATGCTCAAGGAGCCATGTATCCACATGCTAGGATTCACATCTAGTTCGAGTGCAGCCTAGGTTGTACAATAATCACTGTGATATCTCCCAGCCCCCCCAACCCCCCGCACCCCGAGGAGCTTTGTGTTTCTCAGTGCCCCAAAGTAGAAAGCACTCATAAGTATCTATGGCAAGGAAAAGTGGGAGAAGAAGGGAGAAATAATGTGATTGTGAGATACAAGGCTTCTGGCTATTTAGACCTTGCTTCTGCCACTGTAGAATATAACAACTTTAACTGTAACAACAAAAACATCAATTTAGTTGCATCAAATATACACACAGAACCATTTTCAAATCTATGTTACAGTTTTACTAAACTAATTAAATAGAGTACAATGCCCAAGAGGAAAGAGAGCAAGAGAAAGAGAGGGGAAGAGGAGGGAGAGGGAGAGGGAGAGTGAGAGAGACAGAGCGAGAAAGAGAAAGGAAGAGAGAGAGAGAGAGAGAGAGAGAGAGAGAGAGAAAGAGAGAGAGAATAAAAGTCCTTGCCATAGAGGAAGGCTGGAGGGGGTGGTAGGAATGATATTGGGATATTCGTGGCGGTAGAAAATGTACAACTGGTGAAACGATGGCTGTTGGAACATTATATGATTTAAAACACATCATGAACAAGTTTGTAACTGTGCGTCTTGTGGTGATTCAATAGTTTTTTTTTTGCTTTTTGGTTCACATCCGGCAATGCACAGGGATTACTCCTGGCTCCGCACTCAGGAGTTACTCCTGGCGGGGCTCAGGGGACCATATGGGATGCTGGGAATCGAACCCGGGTCGGCCGTGTGCAAGGCAAACGCCCTACCCACTGTGCTATCTCTCCAGCCCCAACAGGTTTTTTTTTTTTTAAGTAGGGTTTGACTGGAAAATTTTAAGAAGTCACTAAAAAAGTTTGCAACTAATCTTTTTTTTTTTACAAATCTATTCCCAGGCAGTCTAATAAGTAACCAGGCTGAGACAACCAGTATTTATTAACCACTGAAAAGGTTAATAAATTGGACAGAGAAAATGGTTCTCAAAGCAAATAAGGACCAAATTTTGGGGTGAATTAACTTCTCACTTGTAAGAGAAAACAGGAGTACATCCTCAGTAATAAAGACTGGCAACTTAATCGTTAACAGAGAATTTCAATGCTCCTGTGGGAAGCATTAATGCGAATTCATCCAGACAGGGTTAGGCGAGAAAATAAAATGCTATTAATGGGTCTCTTTAACCCTTCTCAGAAAATGTGAGACCTCCTCTGTAGAGATTAAGTAGGGAGTTGAGTATATGTATTAGTCTCTGACATCCCTGGGTGTAAACCACCAATTAAATATGGTTCTAAGCAAATGATGGGATTTGGTTTTTATTCTCTCACCTAGAAGCAAAATCATGTATGGTTTGCCACAGACATAAATGAATTTTCTTGCTGAAGCATTTTGCACACAGTAAATATTATAGATATGTAGGTTCTTTATCCCGTTTCTGGAAATGCAGTTGCAGAGGAAGTGAGAGGTCTAAAGGCAAGTAGAAAACCAGGAAGCTTCTTTAAAGGGGGATCCAAAGGGGACTCTGGTGAGTAAGGACTAGGAGAAGTCCTTCCTCCTGACTCTTTGGATGGGCAGGTTTGAGCTTAGGGGGCTTAGGAGTTTCTGGGCTGGTAAAAAGAAGCCTCCAGGATGAGATATTGCTAAATCACAAGTGGCAATGATAAATGTATACACATATAATGCAGCTATTAAAAAATGCTTTAAAAATTCCCACTGTGCAAAATTTTCCTATGGTCAGGTTACTTTAGTGCAGAGATGCAAAAAGGTATCATACCTGGGCAATAAAGACACTAGTCATCCACTCCATCTGAGTTTGTAAACTATCACAGCACAGGTGCCTGAAAAACAAGGTTTAACAAAAAAAGACATTAATTAAAAATGACAATGGTGTACCCACCAGTGCATTTATTTGGTAATTAAGTGATCATAAATATCTTTGGCCTTCTCTTGATGAACGGAGATCCAACCAAAATGGGAGCTTTTCAATATAATTTACCTTAGGTTGCTGTTAAATGTACATCACAATAGGAGTACAAATATATTAGTTTAAATACAGTTCAAGGTTCTGAAATGAAAGTGATATTCTTGGAAAGACAGGAAGATTTCATTTGCTTTTTTAGATAAATGAATTATTTTCTTCAGAATTTGAGTCTAAGAAGACAAATATATGCACATTTTCTAAAGAAATTTAAAAAAAATCTTTAGACAGCCTTCATCATTATGATTATATATAATAACACTCGTAAGACTCAAGAAAAATAAATTAAAAAATGCTTTATAAATCCCATATATTCAGTAATATTTAAAAAACTTCAATCTATATAAACATATTATAAAAAAGCAAAAAAAAAAACAGAAGGCAAAACACAAGTATAGGTACAGCACACTTGGAGAAGAAATGGAAGTTTTTTTTTTATGAGAAAACATATAACTAGGGGCTGAAGTGATAGCACAGTGGGTAGGGCATCTGCCTTGCATGCGGACCAACCCGGGTTCGATTCCCAGCATCCCACATGGTCCCCTGAGCAAGGCCAGGAGTAATTCCTGAGTGCATGAACCAGGAGTAACCCCTGTGCATTGCTGGGTGTAACCCAAAAAAGAAAAACAAACAAACAAACAAAAAAAACAAACAAAAAATTTATGTAACTAATACTAGAAAAGCTTACTAAATATTTCAATGTAATTGCATTTTTTTACACTCCAGGATTATTATAAATAACTATAAAAAAATTTAAAGTTCTGAAAGACAATTGCTTCAACATTCAAAAAAGGATTCCCTTCTCATGATTAGATCTAAAAACTCATTGTAATCAAGGAACCCATGTATACAAAATGTTGTATATCTGAAAATGAAAGAATTAGTAATTAGAGGTGAGAGCTGTATCATAAGACTGGGGCCATTTGAGCTATGATTTGAATGAAGAATAGCAGTTCAGCCTTTAAGAACAGCTGGAAGATGACGGAAGTGGTGAAAGGCAGCTGCATATAAGATAAATAAAGCTCATTAAAACGATCACATATATTCAAGTGTGAATATGAAGCAGTAAAGAATGTTGAAGGCAACTTTTTATCATTAAGTAAAAGGAAAAGTTAGGAGTGAAGGTAATGGAGAACCCAGAAAAAGTGTCTTGGAGGCCCTCCTAATTATCCTGTTTTGTCCCGTAGTGGACAGATTCACAGGAGAGGTTTAAAGCATAAGAGAAACAAGATACATTTCCAAAACATCACTGTGGTGGCCAGATAGAGACTATGCTAGAAAAACCAAAGCAAAACCACAACACGCAAAGCACTGGAAATGAATAGATCTGAGAGATAAGTAAAAGGCAGGTCTGGTGTGGCTTAAAGATTGGATGCAGGTAGGTGTGGGAGGAGACATGGAAAACAAACTGCCTAGATCTACTAGTGATATGCTGGGAAAACTTTTTGTTTTCACAATAAGGGAAAAACAGGTCTGAGAACAAGTTGTTTTTTTTTTATAACTGAGTTTGGGCTAATACTTAAAATTTATTTAAAACTGAATTTTCTTCATTTATTTCCCAAAACTCAGGGTTCTACATTCTCTAGGAATAAAGAAGACATGGGTTCTCTTAAAAGGAACTAACAGAATGAAAAGGAGTGAACTGAATCACAACTTGAAGTGATCAATTACACTATTCACAGACACAAAGTATTTAGAAGATGTTTAAAGTCTGAATATCTTAAAATCTTTGGAAAGTTATTTAAGATATTTTTTAAATAACTTTTAGAAAATATTTAAACAAAGTATTTAAACTTTCCCTTAAGTGAAACATTTCCTATTTGTAAATACATTAACCAGATAATAACATGACTGATTTGCTCAAGTTGCCAACAATGTATCAAATGCAAACATTGCCAGCTGTTAACTTACCAGTGATGCTTTTCAAAATATGCTGTCAAACCCCAACTGCAACACAAAGAAACAATCACACAAACATATAAGAGGATAGATTTTATAAGACTAAAACTAGAATTTGATGTTAAGTGGGAGATATTTTATGGTGAAATACATAATAAAACTGATACCCACAGCAATAAATCAATGTGTATGGTTAAAGTAGAGGTAAAAAAATAAAATGTTGAGAGAATTGGGAATATGTTTAAATAACATAGAAGGGAGCCAGATGGTGTTGGACAGAGGAAAAAATTTTTTTTCAAAATATACAATTGCCTGACTAAGGACAGATGTCAAGGAAAATAACTCAAATAATAAACATTTTCATGTACAGATATTGTGGGAGATTAAAACATGGACCAATTTCAACATACGTATATGTACAAGCAAAAATAATTTTTAGTAAGAGAAACTTCATTCTATTACTAAACATATATACATATTACATATGGCATATTAACTGAAGTTTCATGATATTAAAGAATTCATGAAGAAATAAGCAAATCATTGTAGTTTATGATATGAAAGTGTGGGATAAAAATACTGGAATGATTAAAGTGTTAAAGAGGAGCAAGATGTATAAGAGGAGTCTACTTTCCGCCAGATCTATACCATGATTTCATTAACATATTTCAAAATAAAAGGGAAATTTGCAGAACCAGGACAAAAATATTCAAAAAGCCAAGTATCAGGAAGCTGGACAGCAACATTTGTTTTCCTGTGAATAGATTACCCAAAATAATCGATATGTCTCCAGGCTCTGAATGACAAGCAATGGAATACTGAGAAACACCCGAATTTCCCAGTAATAACACATTCTTGGGATTTCATTCTTGCTTTGGATTAATGAGATGCCATCATTGAAGCACTTGGCCTTATTCTCAGTGGAGACACAGTTCCTCTTTATCTACCCACACAGATTCCCTATTCTGTTAATCTCCTGCCACTTCTCTGGAGATAGCTAAGGAATCTCTTACTTTATTAAAATTTAGATCAATGCCTCTATCCCTAAACACCTGTATTTCCTTGAACACGCATATTTCCCAATAACCTTTCCAGCAACCTTTCCCTTTCAATCTTTACCTTGTCGGTGGCTTCAGTTTCTTTTTCACTCCAAGAAAAAATTTCATTGAACTGAGAGAAAACATTTTATCAGGTTTACTACTCTGTAAGGAAAACAAAATAAATAATAACTAAACAGACCTGGGAAATATCCTTATATTTCCCTTATGTGAAATAAGGGAATCTAGGTTTAAAATTGTTCAGCTTCTCCAGTGTTTCATAAACATACTATCACATTTTTAGTAAATACAATTCTGATCACAATGCAATATGTTTAAATAGTCATGTTTATATATGATTGTTCATATATAGATGTTTATGTCTATAATGTATATTTACATATTAAAATGCATATGCCTAAGTCCATAATCACTTATTCTAAACAATTGTGACCAGATGCATATCAGAATCATTTTCCCAATTTGAAAAATATAATTTAATGCATATGTAATTCACCACACCACCAGTGTTCTGGGAAGCCAAATATACTTATATATTATTGCCAGAAGTACAAGGTATTTGATATCAGATATCAGGTGAAAATATTTTTATGACTGAATGTTTATATTTCTCTAAATTGATATGTTTCATTGAATCCCTAATGGTACTCAGAGTTGGGTGTTGAGGTTGAAGTTCTCAAGAACAGGATGTGTTCTAATAAGAGGTTAAGGAGGATACTATGCTAAATGAGGATAGTCAGTCCCATGATCCACTTGTTGGCTCCAGGTCAGTGAGAAATATATATTTGTTGTTTCTAAGTCACCTAGTCTAAGACAATTTATTATAGCCACCCACTGACTAAGACAAATTTCCTCATATAGGTTTGGGTCAGGTTTTGTCAGCAAGTGAGCTATGATATGCTGTCTGGATGAATTTCGGAATTATATAAGACGACTACAAACTAGTACAGGCAACACAGTACTATCTCAAATGTCCCTATTAATAAAAATGTCACTGAGAAACCAAGAGAGCAGACTAAATACAAAGGACTTACATTTGTACTGGGCCATTTAAATAGTCTCCATGGATATACTAATCTTTATCTGTAATTAATATTCAAGGTCATTGTCCTGAAATAGGCTTCAGGACAAGTCATTGTCCTGAAATAGGCTTCAGGACAATCGGTTTAAAGGCAAAATGTGAATCATTATACTCTAATCTATGAACTTAATATCAAGCCACAAACATTTTCTATTTAGTTTTTGATAGTCTGCACAAGAATTTGTCAAAATAATATTCATGAACAAGTTTTAACAAGAGGTTTTTCCATATTCTGTAATTTCTCTAGGAAGCTTTGTTTTTCAAATTGTATGCAGATAGCATTTGTAACTGAGAGGAAGAGGCTGGAGAACCAGAGAACTGGGCGCAAATCTGGCACTCTGGCAACTACTTTGAGACATCATATTACTTCCAATACTGACTTTATTTATTGCTTTAAAATAGGTTAACAAATACTGACTAGCTAATGAGTTACAATGAAGATTTAATGAGTAAGTAAAGGGCTATTATAAATGGTTATGATAAATACTCTGTCACTCTGTCACTGTCCTCCTGTTGTTCATCGATTTTCTCGAGCGGGCCCAGTAACGTCTCCATCGTGAGACTTTGTTGTTACTGTGTTTGGCACATCAAATATGTCATGGGTAGCTTGCCAGGCTCTGCCTTTCAGGCGAGATACTCTTGGTAGCTTGGCCGGGCTCTTCGAGAGGGGCAGAGGAATCGAACCTGGCTCGGCTGGGCTGGCTGCGCAAGGCAAACACCCTACTATTGTGCTATCACTCCAGCCCATGATAAATACTCGATTTGCTCGAGCAGGCCCAATAACGTCTCCATTGGAGACTTTGTTGTTACTGTGTCTGGCATATCGACTACGTCACGGGGAGCTTGCCAGGCTCTGCCGTGTGGGCGAGATACTCTTGGTAGCTTGCCGGGCTCTCCGAGAGGGGCGGAGGAATCAAACTCGAATCGGCCATGCTGTCTGCGTGCAAGGCAAACGCCCTACCGCTGTGCGGAGCGGTAGGGCGTTTGCCTTGCACGCAGTCAACAAGATAAATACTAAGTGATAAAAATGACTATAAAAATTTACTCTTATAATTGGCTAGAGTAAACCCACAGATGAGCTATTAGCTCATAGAAATAGCAATACTGTAATTAGAATCTTAGGATATGAACAAAAATGTCTTTAGAAAATAGTTCGAATCAGTACTAGCGTGAGGAAATCTGAATAATTTTTCGAAGTTTTTTACTTCCAATTATACTTTGAAGTATTTTTTAAGAAGGCACTTGAATCTGAAAAAGGATGGGAATAATAAAAACTGATTTCAATAAAGAAAGCTGGTGAAGAGAATACAGAGGAAATACCAAATCAAAAGTAAGCATGAATGTCGATAATGCTTAGGTGACCAATGAGTTCTTTGGGAGGGAGGAGAGGCCTGTAATTTATAGAATGAATTTATTGCTACTATCATCAACAAATAAGGTATTAAGCTATATATATAGTTAAAATAGTTTATATATATTAACTATATTATAATATCATATATTTTTAACTATATTAGTTAAAATAGTTTTTTTTAAACATTTATTCTCCTATGGGTGCATTTATAAAATTCAATCACTAGGTCACAGACTTAAATCAAAATTAGGAAAAAGGTTTTGATTAAACTGACAGGGTAGGTGGTAACTAAGACAAAGGTATGGTTATGTATTTGTTAGTAAATTTCAGTTTTAACTGATTTAACAAGACAATTGTTTATTAGCACTCAGGTGGCACTCAGGGTTTATTCCTGGCTTTGCATTCTGGGGCCACTCTACCAAGACTGCAGGACCATGTAAAATGCCAGGGTTAGCCACATGAAGTAAGCACCCAACCCACTGTATAATCTTCCTGTCCCCACCACTGACTGGTTTAAAAATGTATCCCCCCCTTTATTTGTTTGCATTCTTTAAACTGCCTAGTCTTTTAAAGAAAAAAAACTATGTCCAAATTGCTGTTTATTTTTATTTTGCTCAGTTTATTCTTTTTTTTGTATGTTTTCTGAAATAAAATAGTTTTACTTAAGGACATATGGAAGAAAATTATAGATAAAGTACTAGTAAGGAATTATGCATTCCAAGTTGAGATGTGGGAGATGCCAAAATAAAAGGCACAAACATTTATTATTTTCCTAAAGAAAAATAAATGAATCTTTTTTTTTGGTATCTTTTACAGTGCTTCAGTTGTAAAGAATTCCCACATAGATGAAAACAGCCATCAGACAACTTGAAGTATTGCTACTGTGTACATTTTAATTCTTCTAAAACCTGCAATAAGTATTTTATATACAGGATAAAAATTTAAATAGAAAATTCTTTACCAACAATATTACATATTATTAAAAACATTTAAAAACGCATGATATAGGATGGCATACTTATTAAAAATAAATTCTGATATACAATCAAGTCTTATGCTTAAGATCACTGCTGCTCATTTTAATGCTAGGATTATATCATCTACTGTGTCTTAAATTTATTCCTTAACATTTGAGTGGAAATATTCAGCATGCTTTTATTTTTATGTCCTCAAAACAGTCATTATATCCTTTGCAGTGAATAAAAATAATTCCCTTTAGGATTCTGAAAACAATTATATTAAACATATAAACAAGTTTTAGTAAACATAAACTGTTTTTATTTGTACAGTCGACACTTCCTTTTCCATACACGCTTCTATTTCTTTCTTGTTAAAGTCATTTTCAGATAGTTTATGTGTTTTCACTTTTCATTCCCACTAGCAACTGATTTTCAGATAATTGGTTTCTTTGCTTACTACTTTTCTAAATATAAGGAAATAGCTTTTGAACCACTGAACATCGAACAGTGAGACACTTGCAGTAAATATCCCACACAGTAAATAGCAAGGAGAGGCATTAGGAATGTAAACAATTGATGAGACTCCTGGCCATTCTGTCAAAGTTTAAGTTAGATCAAAAACCAGGTTAAAATCTCTCCTAGTGAGAGATCTTAGATTTAGATTCCTGTTCCTGGCTTTACCAAGCAAGCAGGGGATGGAAAGGGGCATCCTTTCAGGATTATGAGCAAGATGGGATCTGTATATTTGAGAATGCACTAGGCAGGCTTCATTAACATGGGATATTGATAAGTTCAGGAATGCCTACATTTAAAAAATGCTTTTAGTAATAGATTGAGAATTTGAAGTGATATAAGCAATTCTCAAGCCACTTAAATGTGCAATTCTGATATCACACAGATAATTGGTCTAAAAACAAAGTGAATCACCTAATTTTAGATGAGAGCAGCAATGATGGAAAATGGTATTTTTGGCTTATTACAGTGCTGTTTTTGGTATGAGTGTTTTGTGGAGAATTTCTTCAAGAAGGTAAATATATTAGTGTGTTATTAAATTTAAATGACATTAGGCATTATATTTCATTAATGCTTCATTAATATCCACTATTATATTAAAAATAAAGTTTTTTACTAAGACAAATTAGTATGCTAAAAATTCTGTAATTGAAAGAAATAACTTTTAATCACCCTCCTTACTGCTTACATTGGCTTTTTTTTCACACATTAACAATGTAACGGCAATATTCTTGGAAATGTCCCACCTTTTATGTAAATCAAGTCTCAAAACATTTTAATTAACACTTTCGGTGCAGGGAAAACTCTCAAAACAAAATATATCTTCCTTAGTGCATTACCCTAATTTGTCATTAATAAGCATTCATAAATTATCTCTAATTAACACAGTCCCCTTACTTCTCAATTTGCAATTTCTCATCCCTTCTCAATAAATTATTTTTAATACATATTAGCACACATATATTTGTGTAAATGTCAAAAGGAGAGCTAAATCGTCCCTTCAGTAAATTAGAGCATTTCTACTAAGGATCATTTACTATAAAATCATTTGAAAAGCTAACATGGCCAGGGATTTGACCACAATATTAAAATAGAAAGACACGGTCAGACAGTGCAGATGGGATGGCACTGACCTTGCAGGCAGCTGACTCGGGTCCCATTCCCAGCACTGCTACTAGTGATTTTAGAGCACAGAGCCAGGTGTAAGCCATGGTGTAAGACACACCTCTAGTGCTGGGCGAGACCCCAAAATGGCCCCAAATAAAATAAACAAGTGACAGAAAAAATTGGCCAGCAAAATAAAGTATTGAAGGTAATAACGTGAGTGTGAAGGAACACCATAACTTGTCATCTGCTTTAATGTTCAAGTATTAGTTACATTTATTTATCCAGAGAAATGTAATCAAGCCAAATTCCATAAACTAAGTGTGCATTTTCTTTAAAAGTCAAATTCTGAGCCAGGGTTCCATGAGTAGGTTCCTGAGAGGTTGGTTGTAAAATTTACAAGGTTAGTTTTGGCTAAGGTATCATAAAAAGTCTATTAAAAATATTAGCACCTATTGAAAGTCTTATTCTATTTTATTCCGTCACTAAAAGTATCAAACTAAAAAATAATATCAAATTATTGTTTATAAGGTATGTTTGTGCACAGAACCTTTGGAATCAGAGACCCACAAATGAATTCTGACAATTTCTCCCTCGCTACACGATCTTGGGTGAGTTATAAAATCTTTGTTACTCTATTCTTTACCTGTGATACAGAATACTAACAGTACTGATTTCATGGCTTTAAAGATAAAATGAGATAATCCAAGTGAAATGCATAGAATTCTGCTTTTCATCAAGTGCCCACAACATTAGTTACTTTTATGCCTGAACTGTTATCATCAATATTCATGTCTCCTCTCTGTTTCTAGCAACATTCTGCTGTTGGCCAATAGAAGCAATGGTTCTTTATATTATTCAAGTTCAATTCAGGTTGATCTTTAAATATACTCAGCAGGCATACAATTACACAAGGGGCTCAGCATATGACCTGTATATCAAATGAATATCAGGGTGGATCGCACATTAAAGAGACTCAAATAACATTCAATCTGATTCAGCTCTAGATGTCTAGAATAAACTGTGAGATCTCGCATTTTAATGAATACACACCTCACGTTTCTGGACTCTAAAATCAGATTTGTTCACAGAAACACACACACTTTACATGTGTTTCTCTACTGAAAATCTTGATCAAAATAAATGCTAAACAAAACAAAACACTTGATATCCCCAGTGCCTTGTTGCTGGGTCTATCGGATGGAACAGCAAGCCAAAAGTCCAAGTGCACGATGTAGAAGAGTTCTCTGAAGGACAGACCAAAGCTGCAGAATTCAGTGCTATCGCTTTTTAGCTTACTTTCTGGACTGTCCACTGTCTTTGAACAAAGTCAAGATTTATGGCTACGGGGAAGCCTCCCTGAAGGAGAAATGTGAACACAGGGAAAGTGATCAAATCTTGTGGAGGGCGCAACAAAGGCCACATCACAATGGGCCCAAGAGCTGTGGAAAGCCTAATGGCTATTTCTTTAAAATACTAACAGATGTTATTTGTCTTGTACCTTCTTTATGCATCTGTGTGTTCAGAGCACAATGGTGTGAAACACCACACACTTAAAGGATTGGGCGATATTAATTTAATATGTAAAAGCATATCTGGGACTTGCTGTCATTCTACCTTTAAAATAATCAAGTCTTACCTACTGGACTATAGCGCGACTCAGTCACTAAAACTCCTGAATGTGTTTTGTGACTAAACAACCTAGGACTGCTGCTGGTACAGGAGGGTAAGAGGTACAAATACCTGCTTTTAAAATGGCCAAAAAGCTGTATGTAATAATATGGCTTTAGAGAGTCTATCGTTCTACCATCAGTTAACATACATCTCTTTTAGGGGTCAAACAGTCCAGAGGGTAGGGCACTTGTTATGAACTTAGTCAGCCCAGGATTGATACCTGGTACCCATTATGGTGCCCAAACCATGCTGGATGTGATCCATGAGGAAGGAGCCAGGACTAACTCCTAAGTACCATAGGGCTTGACCCCAAAACAGACTAAAAAAGATCTTTCTTATTGTTATGTGCTATCACTCCCATTATTTAAGTCATATGCCAAGATGTAAAAATGTTATTGGGCAGTACAAGGTCTGATGAGTCAATGGTTCAACGCTAGGGCCCAAAAATATGATGCCACACAGGGTCTCCAGGACCACACTTGTAAATACTTGTGGGCCTCGAATGCTAAAAATATGATGCTCTGGAGGTCACGTGGTGCCAGGGTTTCTTTTGTGTTCTATCTCCCTGGTCCTTATGATTTAAATTTGCATTTTCTTGATAAATAGTGTGTTAAGGACTCTTAGAACAGTGAGTATTTGTTACTCCTATATGTAATCCTTTGCATAGGATCGGTTGAGTAGTTAGCTCCAACTTTTACTGGGATGCTTTTTCTTTATACTGTTGATATGGAGGCATTCCTTTTCAGGTATTTACATTATGACTATATATATTCTCAGAACAGAGTTGCCTCTTTACAATCTTGATAGAGGCTCTGATGAACATCTGTTATTGTGAAAACACATGTATATTTCATAATCTAATAAGAACTTATATATATTCTGATTTAAGCATTGAAATAATCTGTTGTGCAGGAATTATACTATCAGGAATATATTACAGATTTGGAAATTGAGTTTGAGACATAAAGCAACTTATTTAGATGACATATTTAATAGATTTGAGATTTTTTGACACTATGTTACACGGTTTTAGGGATGCTGCATTCATCTAGGCCCATTTTTATCTCCATTTCCCTTGTCCATTCCTTACTATTTAAAATAAAAATTTCTACAAAATTAAAACTTATAGGTATTCCACTCCTGGGAATATATCCCAGAGAGGCAAAAATGTATAGTCGAAGTGACATCTGCACTTGTTTGTTCATTGCAGCACTCTTTACAATAGCCAGAAACTGGAAGAAACCTGAATGCCCAAGAACAGATGACTGGTTAAAGAAACTTTGGTACATCTACACAATGGAGTACTATGTAGCTGTTAGAAAAGATGAAGTCATGAAATTTACATACAAGTGGTACAACATGGAAAGTATCATGTTAAGCGAAATGAGTCAGAAAGAGAGGGATAGACATAGAAAGATTGCATTCATCTGGGGGATATAAAGTAACAAAATATGAGATTAATACTCAAGAATAGCTGAGATCGGCACCAGGAGGATTACTCCATAGCTTAGTGGCCAGTCGGGCATTCTAGAGGAAAGGGCAGCTCAGATAGAGAAGGGAACACCAAATAAAGGGTGTTTGGAGGATCCTCCCAGGAGGGGAGATGCATGTCGAAAGTAGACTATGGACTGAACATGTTTGCCACTCAATGCCTCTTTTGCAGACCACAACACCCAAAAGGAGAGAGAGAGAACACAGGGGATTTCCCTGCCACAGAGTCAAGGGGGGATGGTGGGATGGGGGTGGGGGGATATTATCCATGGTGGTAGAAAATGGGCACTGGTGGAGGGATGGGTATCTGATCATTGTATAATCAAACCCAAGCACAAAAAATTGTAAATCTACAACTGTACCTCATGATGTTTCACTAATAAAAAAAGAAAAATTAATAAAAAAAAGAAAAAAAACTTATAGGTATTCATTATTCAAATACAATCAATAAATGAATTAATCCATGCAAACATATAAAAGATACATTCATCAGACTTATTTCATATTTGTGCTACCTGGACACCCCACATTATATTAATTTCCCAAGCTAAAAAATCTCAAGCCACTTTTGCTGTTAAATCATGACACATATTTTAAATTTATTAAGATAGTGATTTATTTGCTAGTTTAGGACTTAAGTCATCTCTGCCCAAGTAAATTTAGAAAGGTCATATAAAGTTTCTCACTGTGTCTCTGACAACATTCATATATCCCAGAGGCAGATAGAAATAATCTACTTTTTATGTATTTTATTTACTATGGACCTTGATTTCTGAAAGGGATGAAAAATGTATAAAATGAGAATGCTAATATCTATACCACAATGTATACATATTAAAATACTATCTAAACAAATACCTTCGGATCCTTGTAAAGAAAGAGATGCCCATCTCGTAAAACAATATACCGGTCTTGAAACTTATTCCCTGATAGTATTTTAGATGGTTCTTCTTTGATTTTCAAGATGCCTTCTTTAATACTTTCCTGGGTTCTCCTCTCTGCAACATACAACATTACATTTATAAGTGCATTTTTATTTTCAAAAGAAAACATTATTATATTTCAGTTTTAATAATGTAAAGCAAAAACTTGCTTTGTGGCTACCAGTCACAAACAGAGCCAAAGAAGTTCTACTATTTATAATATACAGAGGTTATCCAAATTAGGGACTGGCTAATGAGCGTTTGACATGTACTAAATCGATATGTGCTGTAAATATAAAGTAGATACAAGATTCTAAAGAGCGCAAAAACATGTTAAAACATCTCAACTTTGTAGACTGATTCATGTTGAAATGATATTTTTATCTATGTGATTTTAAATAAATTGTTAGAAAAGTAATTTCACTTGTACATACAGATATCTCCATGTCTGAACTACTGCCTAGAAACAAACTAAAAAATACACTTTTTTTTATTGTTGTGATTACTAGACAATAGAAAATATGAAAACAACCTTGGCATCCTCTGATATAAAAACAGATCAGAAAAATGTGACATACAACTATGCAATAGGTGTATGCATATACACCTATGTGTGTTATATACTCATATGTGGAAATGACTGAACATATATAGAAATATGAATTATGTATATAAAAGACACTCCAGCCATCTGATAAATTTTAGATGACCTTTGAACCCATTATACGAAGTAGCGTAAGTGAAAGACAAATGTGATCTCTTATTTATAAGGAATCTAAAACAACTCACAAATATAGAGAACAGACTGGTGGTCTCAAAAAAGGAGTAAACAGTAGGCAGGGCAATGAGCTGAGGGTGACTGAAGGTGCAAATTCCAAGTTATAAAACAGATAGTTTCTGAGTGGTAACAATATGGTGACTACCAATAATATTATAGCATATTTTCTGAAGTCACTAAGAATAAACCTGAAAGTTATTATTATAAAAGCAAATTACAAACTAATGGGTATTAGCTAAATTTATTATTCACTTTGCAATGTGTCTCATAGTACATACCTTGTATTTAGATAACGCTACATATCAACTGTAATATATCAACAGAACAATAAAAAAATAATAAAGGTTTTAGAGGATTTGGATAAACTGGTACCCTCATATGCTGCTGTCTGGAGTATCAATGATGCAGCTGCTTTGTAAAACAGTTCTGCAATTCTTCAAAAGGTTAAATTAAACATTGTCTTGTGGTGGAAGGAAGTCACATACAAGAAAACTAAACAAAGAATAAAAGACTTTCTTGAATAAAAGTCACTGAGTGTTTGAAAAAAATGTCAGTGATCATCAAGTTGAATCATTTTTCTGTGTTGAATGCTTTATTTAAATGTGGCTTAGAGTCACGCATATGCTGCCCGAGCCCATGTGCTGCTTGTGCCCACGTGGCCGAGCACATGTTGCGGCTGAGTACATGTGTTGCCCGCATCTCCCCTCTTGAGATGTGTTCATGCTTTCGTGTCCAATGCTGGTATGTGTGTAGAGGCTCTCTCCGCCCTTGGAGAAGCCCATGTTCTCTCTTGAGTACGTTACTCTCTCTCACTCTCTCCCCCTCCACACCTTAAAAATCCTCCAAATAAAATCTGTTTCACACACACACACAAATGTGGCTTAGAGAAGTCATATATAAACATTTAAACAGGCTTCACAGATTCATATTTTCTAGTGGGAAATCACAAAGGTTAATAGTTTAAACTATTCATTTTAAACTTTTCATAGTAGGTCCTTGTATAAAAGCGAGCAGACTGACTTTCTTACTAAGAATTTCACTTAGGAGATGAATTCAGGACATTTCCTTACCGACTGACTTTCTTACTAAGAATTTCACTAGGAGATGAATTCAGGACATTTATGCTGTTAAAAGCAGACTCTCACCTATTTCCAAGACTATAATTCTACATTAGTGGAAGAGGCCTTCTCTTCAACTTTTACACATATACTGAATTAAAAACACTGGTGGGAAGTAGAATGTAAAGTAAAGTAGAATGTGAAAGATACATCAACGGAAGTTTAGAATATGAACTGTGACTACTCTGGCTGTAATTTTATTTTATTTCCTTAAATCAGTTGAGAGTGGATGGCTTAGCTTTCCAGGTCTGAACTGACTGGAAGTAATTTTAACTATTCTATTCTCATGCAAATTAATTCTAAAGCATTTGTCATATGCAGTAATCTAAATTTAGAAGTCCACAGGGATCTGCATTTGAGTTACATCTATATCTTAAAAATATTTCTCCCCAACTGAGTTCATTAAAATTTGATTTCTACGTATCTCATTCTACTGGGATAACTTTAAAGAATTTTAGTGCTTAAATCTTCAGTAACATAAAATTATTTATACTGGAACCTTAAAAAAGCTATACATTTATGGTTTACTTGAGAAAGAGATGTTGAAATTAAACTCAATATAGAGGTAATGATAATATAATAAAAGATAGTCTAATAAGATTAGCAATGACAAAGCCTGAATGGCAATTTAAATGAAGTTTCAGTCTCCCTATCTCAATGTCTCAGTCATCATCCATGGAATAGAAAGAAATTTGAGGACTATTATCTTTCTTTTCAAATGAGTTAACTCCTCATTACAATAATGACAAAAGCACCAACTGTTTCTAAGTAATAAAATGTCACTGTTCAAGGACACAACTGATTTTAAGTAGGAAATAAATAAGAAAATTTTACTTAATTTCATACACTTCCATAAAAAGGTAAAGCATGTTACCTCATTACCTCAAATGAATGAACAGAAATTAGGAATTGGGTGATTTATAAATCTACTTCTAAATGTCATGCCTACATTTTAAGCAGTTTAGATAAAAGTACAAGATGAAAGAAAAAAAATAAGGAAATTAAAATTCCAAACATAAACAAAAGTGCAGACTTATTACTTGTTTCATAAATAGCCGCAACCGTATTAACTAAACGTAAGGCATATAGGTGGGCAGGCAGGAAATAAAACTTCTAGGAAATACCAATTATGAGAGTTGAGGAACTAAGGAAATGCTAGCTCTACTTTCTATTTTAAAAAAAATGTTAACACATCAGCTGCCAGTTACTGCGAGATGTCGCTGCAAATGACTATCCTTGATACTGATGATTTTCACATATCTCCCCCATAGTTCATATTTCTGTAAGAAAATTTTAAGAAAGGAAATGAAGTTTTAGCATCATTCCCTTCATGTTATTAAGAGAATCAGAATTTCTAAGGTCACTCCAGTTTTTCTGCTAACAAATTGACAGAAATCACATTTGATTTACTTTCATTATTTTCCTTTTAGTTTCCTATTTTAAGAAGTGGCAGATGTAATGACTGGTACAATGATTTTGGAGTAGGTATGATTGCCACCTACTTAAGAGACATTTGCCGAGAAGGAGGCAGAGTGAATAGCTAGCTAGCTAACCCCAAAATCCATCCTAAAATTTATCCCAAAAGAACACTTTAAAAGCTCCAAGTTGCTATTAGACATAACTATTGTAAAAGTTGTAACAAAACATGATGTAACAATATTTAAAAAATGATAAGCAACTTCATATGCATACAAAAGCTTCTGCAATTAGAGATTCTTTTATGACTTTGACACTCTGAATATATAATAAGCTCTAATAAAAAGCTTTGGCAAAACTTCTGTTCCTATTTTTTTTTTTTTTGCTCCGGGGAGGAGGGTTATATGCAGTGATCTCGGGGCTTACTCTATGCTCTGTGTTCAGAGACTATCCCTGAGGTGGAAGGTGAGCTATATGAAGGGCTGGGATAGAACCCAGGTCAGAAGAACGCAAGCACCCTATCTGCTGTATGATCTCTCAAGTCTCTCTATTCTTATACCTTTGATCCAAGTACATAAAAACTATTATGAACTTGAGAAATATATATATATGTATATATACACACACAATCGCATCACTGTGAGATACAATTACAAAGTTTTCATGTTTGAGTTTCAGTCATATAATGATCAACACCCATCCCTCCACCACTGTATTCTATACTACCAATGTTCTCAGTATACCCTCCCTTTCCAACCCTCCTCTTGCCTCTATGGCACACAATTTTCCCCATACTCTCTAGATACTGAGAGGCTATTATGTCTGATCCTTTATCTACTTTCAGCACACATCTCCCATCCCAAATGATTCCTCCAACCATCATTGACTTAGTGATCCCTTCTCTATTCCAGTTCCCTTATTTCCCAGACAATGAGACTGTCTTCCAACTATGGAGCAGTATTCCTGGCCCTTGTGTTTACTGACTTTGGGTGTCCGTCTCATATTATTTTATATTCCACAAATGACTGCAGTCATTTCTCTGTCTATCCCTCTCTTTCTGACTCATTTCACTAAGCATGATACTCTCCATGTCCATCCACTTAAAAGAAAATTTCATGACTTCTTCCTTCCTAACAGTTGCATAGTATTGCATTGTGTAGATGTACCAAAGTTTCTTTAACCAGTCATCTGTTCTCAGGCACTTGGATTGTTTCCAGATTCTGACTATTGTGAAAGTGCTCCAATGAACATGCAGGTACAGATATCATTTCTACTGTGCTTTTTTGCACCGTCAGGATATATTCCCAGAAGTGGTACTGCGGGATCATATGGGATCTCCAGTTCTAGTTTTTGAAGGAATGCCCATATTGTTTTCCAGAAAGGCTGGACCAGTCAGCATTCCCAACAACAGTGAAAGCATCCCTTTCTCCCCAACATCCACACCAGCACTGGTTGCTTTTGTTCCTTTGAATGTGTGCCAGTCTCTGTGGTGTGAGATGACATCTCACTGTTTTTTTTTTCCATTTTTTTTCTTTTTATTAGTGAAACACCATGAAGTACAGTTGTAGATTTACAATTTTTTGTGCTTGGGTTTCAATTATACAAAGATCAAATACCCATCCATCAGTGCCCACTTTCCACCACCCTGGATTATATCCCCCCCCCATCCCACCCTGCCTCTGTGGCAGGGCATTCCCTTTTGTTCTCTCTCTCCTTTTGGGTGTTGTGGTTTGCAAAAGAAGACTGCCATATTTCTATTTCAAGATTCCCTCCAGGAGTCCACATAACACCTATTTGTCATGCCTTTGCTTTCTCTGGGTTAGGACTTTTCTCAGATTTTTCTTTTCTTTACTTTTTTTTTCTTTTTCTTTTTTTTTTATTAGTGAAACACCATGAGGTACAGTTGTAGATTTACAATTTTTTGTGCTTGGGTTTGATTATACAATGATCAGATACCCATCCCTCCACCAGTGCCCATTTTCCACCACCATGGATAATATCCCCCCCACCCCCATCCCCCTATCCCCCCCTGCCTCTGTGGCAGGGCAATCCCCTGTGTTCTCTCTCTCCTTTTGGGTGTTGGACATCTCACTGTTTTTTGGCTTTGCCTCTCCCTGATGATTTTAGGGATGTAGAGCATTTTTTCATGTGCCTTTTGGCCATCTGTATTTCGTTCTGAAGGAAGCTTCTGTTTATTTCTTCTCCCCATTTTTTGATGGAGGTTGGAGGTTTTTGCTACTTGCAAAAAAATGAACTCTGACATCAGTCTAACACCAGGCACAAAAGTTAGATAAAGTGAATTAAAGACCTCAATATCAGACTTGAATCCATAAGGTACATGGGGGAAAATGCATGCATGACATTGAAGCTAAAAGCATCTTTAAGGATGAAACACCACTGACCAAGCAAGTGGAAACAAACATAAACAAATGGGTCTACATTAAACTAAGAAGCTTCTTCACCTCAAAAGAAATAGTGACCAAAATACAGAGAGATCCCATGAAATGGGAAAGAATATTTATTTAATACCCATCTGATAAGGGAATAATATCCAGGATATACAAGACACTAGTAGAATTGTACAAGTAATATATTCGCTGATGATATCACTCTAAAACCTGATTCATTTTTTTCCTGCAGAGAGATATAATTCCCTGACAGAAGAAATTGCTTGGAAAAACATTTTGGGATAGTGAGGAACAGGAGGGTCATCCTTTGTAGCTCCCAGTCTGTTAGAAGAACAACGAACATGAGAACAATACAAATGTTTGCTGATATTTTACTCTTAAAGCGTGTTCCTCAACTCTCCTCTTCCAACCACGACCCAATTTTGACCTTTTTTTCCTTCTTGTGTTGCCCTAACCCCATCCCGATAGTTGGCCCCTAGTCACATGCCATGGTCCCCTTGAAAAGTCCTGAGTTATTCTGGCCCTGGGTTGAGAAATGCTGCTCTAGAGAATGCTTATCTGCATGCCTAAGTATGCTTTAAGGTCTCAGTTATTTTTTTTGTTTTGATTTGTTTTATTTTCCTAGGTCCTTCAATATTATGGGATATAGACTGCCTAGATCATGGCCAGACAGATGCTTGGTGCTTTCATAACTAAAAGACACACACAGCCCATGAAAAAAAGATGCAGGGATATGTGACACATCAGTCTGACACCCCTTCTCTCCACCATGTTTGGGACAGAGCCCATGTACCTTTTTCATGCTCCCGTTTCTTCTCGTTCTTAAACATTGTAATGATTTCACTCTGACATAACTGCTGTAACCAGCTCAAAGTGTATCTTGCTTTTCTTATTTTTCAAATACCCTGTGCATTTGTGGGTATAGTTATATCAGGCTATTTCTTACCTTACCTACTTCCTTCTTTATGTCATACCCTTTACTATCTTTTTTATCTATTTTCATTCACCTAGATATCTAGTAGCATTTTAGAAGTAGATAAGTATTATGTCTTGGTATAGTACCAGGTTACAGTACAATGCAAAAATTAGAGATACTTCAAAGAAATGTTTTTTTTTTTAATAAGGAACATTTCTTTAAAAAAACTAAAAACAACAGCAGAAATTAAGATTTAGGATAGATTTCACAGATTATCTAAATCAGATTTTCAATGCAGCTGCTCTGGTATTTGGGGACTGAAAAATTATCTGCCATAGTACTCATCTTATGCATTCATTACAGGATATTTAGTGGTGTGGCTGTGGCGGGTGTAGTTGATTTCAGATGAAGGCAAGTTTTCCAGGAGGAAGGAAGGTGGCAAAATCATCCCTACTTTTGAGAACCACTGGTCCAGACTTGGATGCACAGTTCATTGATATTACCAAACAGAACTTTTATTACAAGTCTTACGGGATATATGAAGAATGTTGCCAAAACACATGTGATGGTAATAAATTCAAAAAATGATCTAAAAAGACTACATTTCTATGATAAAAAAACAGTAACAGGCTGGACTGATAATATAGTAGGTAGTGCTCTTGCCTAACATGCAGCTGACCTGGGGTTTGATCACCAGTACCACAGATGGGATGGTCCCCTGAACCGTCTTCACCAGAAGAGATTCCTGAGCACAGAGTAAAGAGAAATCTCTGAGGAACGTTAACAGTAGCCAAAAGAGACAGACTAAAAAAAGACTAATTGTTTTTTTTTTTTTGCTCAGATGCACTATCTAAAATTACCTATGTGTATGTACTTATGATTACTTATGATGCTAGACTTTAATTTTGTAAAAGTACATTCATATGTGATATAAATGTACTGTAATGGAATGACGGTTTGTGCTCCACATTCCAACGTGAGTGTATTAGGAAGTAAGGCTCCTTAGAGGTAACTGTGATAAGTTGAGATCAACCAGGTGGAAGCCTCAAGAACAGTATGAATGGCTTTGTTAAGAGTCACTAGAGGCCTTCCTCCTTTTCACAGCTCTTTGCCAGGTGAGGAAGTCCAAAGTACGCAGTCTGAAAGTGGACTTAAAAGAAACTCATACAAGGGCACCCTGATCACAATGATCTCTAATCTCTATGAAGTAAATTTCTATCACTCATAAGTCAACCAATTATAGTGGCTTGTTAAAATAGGCCCAAGCTGAACTAAAGCAATATCAGAAAATCAGAATTCTATTAGCTTTAGATTAAGAATTTGTTAACCTATGGCTCATTGATTAGAAAGACTGCAACTCTATAATAAGGAGGTTAAGAGCAATTAAGAGCTATCCCAAACCTCCCAACTTAATAGTGTGTGTGTGTGTGTGTGTGTGTGTGTGTGTGTGTGTGTGTGTGCATGTGCACGTGTGCTACTTTATTCTCACATCAAGTATTTAGTAACTGATCTGATCATATTTCTTAATTTTTCTCAATGTCTCTTTCCTTATTTGCAATATTCGAAAGACAACACATTTCAGAAGGGGTTTTGAGAATGTGTGAGCTTTAGTAACTAAAGCTTGGTAAAATGATATGCGAGCAACAGACAGTAATATTGATTTATAGTTTAAAAGTTGAGGTATATCTCATCTTCTAAAGCCTTTATCAACTGTATTTGGGGTCAATGAAGACAGGAAATCTAACATGTAAGTTTATGATGAAAGAAGTTTCAAAGTTTCAAACTGAATAGTAGAAATGACATCTGCACCTGTATGTTCATTGCAGCACTCTTTATAATAGCCAAAATCTGGAAAAAAAACAAGTGCTTGAGAACAGATGACTAGTTAAAGAAACTTTGGTATATCTACACAATGGAATACAATGCAGCTATTAGAAAAGATGAAGTTATGAAATTTGCATATAAGTGGATCAACATGGAGAGTATCATGCTAAGTGAAATGAGCCAGAAAGAGAGACACAGACATAGAAGGACTGCACTCATTTGTGGAATATAAAGTGACAGGATGGGAGACTAAAACCCAAGAATAGTAGAGGTAAGGACCGAAGGATTGCTCCACGGCTTAGAACCCAGCCTCACATGCTGGGGGGAAAAGGCAGCTCAGATAGAGAAGGAACCACCAAGCAAAGAATGCTTGGAGGGCCCGCTCGGGATGGGAGCTGTGTTTAAAGTAGACTATAGACTGAACATGATGGACACTTAATACTTGCATTGCAAATCACAACACCCTAAAGGAGAGAGAGTAAAAGGGAATGGAGGTACCATAGAGGTGGGGGTGGGGTAGAGGTGGTGGAAGGGATACTGGGCACTGATGGAGGGATGGGTACTCGATCACTGTATGACTGAAACATAAGCACGAAAGTTTGTAAGTCTTAACTGTATAGCATGGTGATTCATTAAAAAAAAATAAAGTTTTAAACTGAAAGTTTTCTAAAACCTCATAGTGACTGGGACTCTCATACATGGTTGCCTTGTCCTAGCTAACTTCTTAGCTAACCTTATGTCTTGCATGTCTTATTCTAGTTGGATGGCAAGAGTTCCTGTGGGAAATGTTTTATTTTATAGGTATTTATTCTCTTGTATCTTTGTAAGGTGAAAATTTTAACAGGTACTCAATTTCAAAGCTGGCAAGATTTGTGCTTCTTAGAAGTTTACAATTTTTAATGTAATAAAAAGCATATAATACATTTAATATCAATCTAATGGTTAAGGAAAAAAAAATATCCCTGGCAAATAAAACCAAACCACAACCATTCCTTTCAAAATGTTTAAGTTGTGGAATCAACAAGTTAGTCAGTATCTGCCCATCCTGTCCACCAGGTACTTGGTACTCCCTTCCATGTCCCCCTCACTGTGCACTACACCCCACATCAGCAGCCTCTGATGCAGCGACTCATGTTTTACATGTCAAATGACATTTGTACCACGTTTTACATTTTTGAATGACATTTTTCAGTAATTATCCCCTAACTACTTGAATTTTTACTCATAGCTACAATGTGAAACAGAACACTTACCATTATAGTGTCTGATTGTGTCTGTGTTTAAAAATCTTTTCACCACAAGGTAAGCAGAGCCAGGCTCGGCTAATGAACTCCACCGCAGGACCTGCTCCAATATGTTTTCTGTGTAGTGAAGGGGGCGCTCTGCAAGAAGTCAGTGAATAAATGCAAAATAAATTTTAAAAAATTATATATATATACATATTTTCATGACAATATCCCTTGTTAAAGAACAACAAATCCCTTTTTAAAAAAAATCCCTTTTTAAAGAACCACATGCCACAGGAAAGATACATCTTATATCATAAAACTGTATCAGTAGGATAACATTAAAAAGACCCGAACATTTAGAACAACATAAACCAGTAATAAAACTTACTATGTAAATAAATTTAGTGCAGAGCTTATCTTCTAAATAACATCTTATAAATAAATCAACATCTTTGAATAAACGTGTATTCTATTTATTGTTTTTGTGCCACACCCAGTGATGCTCAGGCACTACTGCCTACATTAATCTCCAGGTCCCTACTCGAGGATCTCCAGGGACCAGGGATCAAACCCAGGCCTTCTGCATGCAAAGCCAGTGCTCAGAACTAGAAACTATCTCTCTCACCTGTGTGCTTTTATTTTTTAAATTTAGATAACACTCTGGTTTGCTTATGGAAAGATGCCTAATTCCAAATGCAACTAAATAACTGGAAAAAAAGACTAGAAAAATTAATAGTGTATACACATTTTAAAAACTGGCTATAAATTTGAATTATTCATCAAAAATGTAATGAAATTAATATTGCTATTCTTATTACCACTACAAAATTATAATACATAGCTTCAAAGGAGAGCACAAGTAAACAGAATATTTCTAAGTAACATTTATTTTGGTCTTTTTTAGGTCACAGCAGCAATACTCTGGGGTTACTCCTGTTTCTGCTCTTAGGGTATTCCTGGTGGTGCTTGGGTGACCATATGGGGTGCTGGAGATTAAAGTCGGGTCGGCTGAGTGCAAGGCAAGTGCCCTATTCACTGTAATATCAATTTGATCCCCAATTCAATGAAAACTCAAGGGATGAAATAACTTAATTTCTATAGTGCTCAAGAAGTAGACAATAATTATAAATAGATCAACAATATTCTTTGTAAAGTGAGGCAAAATTTGTGTTACATCAATCTTGCTTTTCTTCAATTTCCCAAATTTAGGGCTGTAATGATAGTACCACTGGTAGTGCATTTGTCTTACATGCAGCCAACCAGGGAAATCCAATTCTCGGTTCCCTGTTTAGTCACCAGGAGTGAGCACTGAGCACAGAGCCAGGAGTAAGTCCTGAGAACTGCTAGGTGTGGCCCTCCCCCAAAAAATAGAAAAAAAAATTCATGTCCATTGTTCGATTGAAGTGACCATTAATATTTACTCTTATTACCACTGGCCAAGCAGAGATAGACAAATGGGACTATCTTAAACTAAGAACCTTCTGCACCTCAGAAGAAACAGTGAACAAAATACACTGTCTACAGAATGGGAAAGGATATTCACCAAATACACACCCGATCAGACGAGATCGGGCGCGTTCAGGGTGGTATGGCCGTAGAGCCCGGCAAGCTACCGAGAGTATCTTGCCCGCACGGCAGAGCCTGGCAATCTCCCCGTGACGTATTCAATATGCCAAACACAGTAACAACAAAGTCTCCAATGGAGACGTTACTGGGCCCGCTTGAGCAAATCGATGATCAACGGGAGGGCCTTTACTTTACTTACTTTACTTTGCACACCCGATAAGGGATTGATCTCAAGGATATACAAAGTACTGGTTGAACTCCACAAAAAGAAAACATCCAACCCCATCAAAAAATGGGGAAATGAAATGAATAGAAACTTTCACAAAGAAGAAATCCGAATGGTTAAAAGGCACATGAGAAAATGCTCCACATCATTAATCATCAGGGAGATGCAGATCAAAACCACAATGAGATATCATTTCACACCACAGAGACTGGCCCATATCCACAAGAACAAAAGCAACCGGTGCTGGCGCGGATGTGGAGAGAAAGGGACACTCCTTCAATGTTGGTGGGAATGTCTACCGGTTCAGCCCTTTTAGAAAACAGTATGGACGTTCTCAAAAAATTAGAAATTGAGCTCCCATTTGATCCAGCAATACCACTCCTGGGAATGTATCACAGAGAGGCAAAAAAGTATAGTCAAAGTGGCATCTGCAATTGTTTATTCATTGCAGCACTCTTTACAATAGCCAGAATCTGGAAAAAACCTGAATGCCCGAGAACAGATGATTGGTTAAAGAAACTTCGGTACATCTACACAATGGAGTACTATGTAGCTGTTAGAAAAGACGAAGTCACGAAATTTACATACAAGTGGTATTACATGGAAAGTATCATGTTAAGGGAAATGACTCAGAAAGAAAGGGATAGACATAGAAAGATTGCATTCATCTGGGGAACATAAAGTAACAAAATAGGAGACTAACACCCAAGAATGGCCGAGAGTAGTACCAGGAATTTTACTCCATGGCTTGGAGGCCAACCACACATGCTAAGGGAAAAGGGAGCTCAGATAGAGCAGGGACCACCAAATAAAGGTGTTGGGAGGATATTCCCAGGATGGGAGAAGCATGATGAAAGTAGACTATAGACCAAATATGATTGTCACCCACTGCCTCTTTTGCAAACCACAACACCCAATAAGAGAGAGAGAACAAAAGGGAATGCCCTGCCACAGAGGCAGGGTAGGATGGGGGGGGATGGGTGGTGGGAGGGATACTGGGATCCGTGGTGGTGGGAAATGGGCACTGGTGGAGGGATGGGTATTTGATCAATGTATAATTGAAACCCAAGCCCCAAAATTTGTAAGTCTGCAACTGTACCTCATTATGTCTCACTAATAAAAAAAATACTGTTAAAAAAAAAAACTAATAAGATAGTAAAACTAAAGTTAGTACTGTTTTTTGAGGGGCAGACCTGGCAGTGCTTGGAAGATCCCATATTGAGATTGGGCCCAGGTCACTTTCATGCCAGGCAAGCACCTTACCTACTGTACTATCTTTCAGATTCCATGAATTTTGCTTTCTAAAGCATACTTGGCATGGCTCCTCAACTTTTACATGTAAGGAAACATGCTATAAGAGATACTCTGTCTCTTAAGTTCAATATAAGTTCATATGGGGAGGCAGAGATATGAACTTCAATGCTATTTGATGTTAAAGCCTCAAACTGTAAGTACAGTAAGTTTTACTTAGACCAAATATGGATAAACCTCACCTTTCCAATTTTCTATCATGTAATCTGGTTTAGAAAATATCAACTCAACCAGGATTATTTTTAAACTATACAAAGGAAAATAAGCAAAGAGAAAGATGTCATTTCACTTTTCCCATTTACTTGTTACTCCTCAGTGAGAATATGGTAAGACATTAATAGTGACATAGCTTTAACATCCTAAAGGAAGAGAATTGGTTATAATGCAGAGGCTTGGAGATAAGAATAATAATCTTTTTTAAAAAATGTATTTTATTGAGTCACCGTGATATAGTGACAAGTTTTCATGTTTGAGAAACAATCACGATGATCAAACACCCATCCCTCCACCAGTGCACATTCCCCACCACCAATATCCCCAGTATACCCCTCTTTCCCACCCTCCCCCTGCCTCCCTGGCAGATAATTTCCCCCATACTCTTTCTTACTTTGGGGCATTATGGTTTGCAATGCAGATAATGAGAGGTTTTCATGCTTGCTCCTTTATCTACTTTCAGCACACATCTCTCATCCCAACCAATTCCTCCAATCCTCATTTTCTTAGTGATCCCTTCTCTATTCCAGCAAGAATGATAGTCTTAATTGGAAATTAATATCTAGGCATAGACTTCCAAGTTATCAGAATGTTCATATCAAAGACGTGACTATTATAATACTATAGTGACAGCATGTAAGGGTTCTGATTTACATGAAACATATCACCGTGTATAGAGACAAGTAAGATTTGCAAAAATTAATTAAGCACATTTTAAATTTAGTATCATAGCATGAACAACTTTAGGAGAATGAAAGTCCTGGAAAATCAAGTTACTGCATGAAAAGAGAACTAAAAAGTACAATAAAAAGATGAGTATTTATTAGGCTGTCAAACACTGCATAGAAAATACCATTAAAATCCACCTTAAGAAAGAAGGCAGGAAAAAATTGAGTCATGAATTAGAATATAAATTTCATAAAGAAAGCTTTAATTTATGTAATGTTTACAATCATCTGTTCTGAAAGATTATGTAGAACCAAAGTTATTTGCCATTAGGGTATTATTAGAAATAACACACCTGAGTACTATCTATAGCAAACAAATTGCTACAAATTTAATGTAATCCTTGAAGAAAAATAGGTTTTAAAGTGTTTTTTTAATAAGGCCAATTATGCTATCAATAGTCCTTATTCACATAATAAACCAGGGCCCCTTTATTTAGTGAAGTGTTAGCTATTCTCCACCTGAAATAAAAAGTGGTTTTCTTAAGTTACTGGCAGTTATAACAGTTTTTAGAGGAAATTATGGCTGGGCAATCATGACATTATTAGAGTTAAACTTAAGAGCGGGGCAGCCTTCCTCTGTCCTGTCCACAGAATCTGAGCCAGAAGACACTTTCTGTGACAATCACAAGAACTATAAATAGTATGACTAGTAATGCAAGGATCTTTCGATCAGGGTAGCGATGAGGAAGAAACAAGGCACATTTTATCCTGATCCAGTGTTGCAGGAAGTAACTGCTTGACAAACCTTAACTTTAGTGAAGCAGCTGACTTATAGTTCTCCCTTGGGCATATGAAGAACCCCCAAATTTGGACCCCCAAGAGATGCTGGACTAAATCCACAGGGGACAGGCTCCTTCCTAAGGTGAATAGCCCGTGTGGCTTTGAATGCAAACAAAGCTTACTCTGAGAACGGACTTTATTGCCAGTGAAGTGACTGTGTGTCACTCTGGCAGCAACTTTTAAAATGGAGAAGGGGTGGGGCTGGAGTGGAGAGTACAGCGGGTAGGGTGTTTGCCTTGCACGTGGCTGACCCAGGTTTGATTCCCAGCATCCCATGTGGTTCCCTGAGCACCGCCAAGAGTAATTCCTGACTGTAAAGCCAGGAGTAACTCCTGTGCATTGCCGGGTGTGACCCAAAAAGCCAAAAAGCCAAACCAAAAAAAAAAAGAGAAAGAAGGGCTATTCCTTATCAGGCACAAGTGTGGGGTGCCTACACTAGAAGAAATAGAAGAAGAAACAGAAATAGAAAAAACCTGCTAATAAGTTCAGTGTCTTAAAAGTTAAAACAATTTAGCATTTTCAATTTTTTTAAACAGTTTTAGTATTCCATTTCCACATCTATGTGACTACTATAGTAAAAACAATAACAAAAATCAAGTTTTTTACTGGTAAGAACACTTTAAGAGAAGCTGGCCATTCCATTTTTTTAGGATCTAAAATGTTGTCCCTGTAAAACTCCTCTGCTGAAATTTGAGTTCCTGGGAGATGTTCTTAAGAGGTGGGGTATTTGGCAAACGCTTAGGGATGAATGCGATTAGTGATCTTTTAAACCAGATCCCTCAGCACTACCTAGTCCCTCTGCCATGTGAGAACACAGCATAAGGAAAGCCTGCTCAAAATCAGAGTGGAGCCTCATTAGACACTGATGAGTTCTAGCTTTCAGAACTGTGCAAAAGAAACTTCTGTAGTTCAGAATCCAGTTATGGCATTATGTTAACAGAGCCCAGAGACAACAAGAGATTATGTGGCCAATGGTGGGGATGTGGTTAAACCCTAACAAGCCTCGTTGGTCGGCATTAGTAGCTATCACGTATCCATGACAGTGCCATGTACTGTTTTAAGAATCTATTATTCCATTATCTGTGAACATAAAGGCGTATCTGAGTATTTATCTTAAAACGGTCTTCCTTTTACTCATTTTTATCCTGTAATTAGATGTTACAATGCTATAAAGGGACCACATATATACTACATGAAAGGAATATGGGACAAATACACATAGGAATCTATAGCTTTAAAATTTCCTGGTATCTAAAATAAAAACCAGCACTTCTTGTTTACTTACTTAGTCACTTTTATATTTCCATTATTTCCTTACTCAGATGATTTATATTCACATTAGAAGAAAAAGTTCCAACTCCCCACTGACATTATTCCTATCAACCACAATCTCGCCTTGACTTTTATCTACCAATGCCTTGACTTTTATCTTCTTTTTATATTTTGCTTTATTTTCACTGGATGCTACTAGAAATAAAGCTTTTAACATTTCAGAAGGTCAGGTGGAGTACACGGGTTCCATCTGCTCCAGTAAACCAACATAATCACAGGCCCACTGCTGCTTCCCTAGATTATACCTCGCCAAGCAATAAACGTGTCTTAGTTTCCTCTTCTGGTGATTTCAACTCTTTTGTCCAGATATTAAAAGCGCGCTAAATGTGAATTTTTAAGTTCATTAAATATATTATTTCCTGTGCACACTTGCCATTCTTTTGACTATATGTCAGAACAGTCACATGTCACAATCAAAATAACTGCAGGTCTTCTAGTTCTCAAGTTAACTCTAGAGAGAAGGAGCCAAAAACAGGAAGGAGGCAGAAACAAGAAAAAGAATAAAGTCCAAACTACTACGGTCTCAACATTGTGATGTCTTACCAATAGTCAAAGACAAGTTAAATTCAGTTACTTTTGTGGTAAATAGCCCTTTATTTTTCCTAGAATCAATTTAATGGCAACGTTTCCATATATGCGCAGCATCTCTTCTAGATTTAACTCCGTCCTATCCTCAACCATGCTGGTTGCTTCTCTCAGTCAGGAGGACCAACGCTACATAATTCTGATGCTGTAGTACAAGGATGCACTTTGAATCAACCCATATGAGAACAAAGATGGCTAACTACAAACCAATTTTGTGTATTCGTCTCCATATACCCAAACACACAACAACCTGCTACTTATGGGAACAATCATCTCTTTTAAGAGCTAAGCAGGATGTGAGAGCTCCGAGTGGTTCCTCATTGAAAGCAGGACTAACATGTGTTATGTACCTTCCACATTTAGATTATTATCCAAATTATTATTACTATGCAGAGAGCAAGAAATCATCACCTTGCATTTTTCCCCCACCTCAGTTAACAAGAAATGTGTAGAAAAAGTTCACCTCAATGTACTAAGCGATACTGAAGTCTGAAAGTTAGGTAACAACTTACAGCATGTGATATTGAGTGGAACCATATATAAATACATAAGTATTCTACAAGTCAGATAGCATGCAGTTTTATCTACTTATAAGCAAATGACCAGACAGAGATCCATGAGAACCATGTTCATCTAAATATCCTCACAGAGAAGTATTTGTGCTAGAGCTTAAATAAACTAATAAAGAGGCAGTCCAATATGACCCTACATGTCATTTTAAAAGATAATTCCATCCACAATACTGAGATATGCTTACGGTATGATAGATCTGGGAACCTTAGTTCTTTTATTAAAATTAAACAAAGATCAAATGACTATACGCTGCATTAATAAAGCTTCACTTATTCAACATATTTATTCATACAGAACCTAAGTACAAGACACTGTACAGAACACTGAAGATGGAAAACGGGAGTCTCTCCATACTTCCAAAAAGTTCCAAAAAGTTCTCACCAACAGTAATCCACATAAATTCAGTGAGTCACTATGAAATGTAGTGAAATAGTAAAACCCTTTTATATTACATTTTATATAATATATATAATAAATATAATATATAATTTATATAATATACAATATATATTATATTAAATAGGGTAAACAGATAAATAGTGTGTCAGATGGAAGCAAAATAAAGGTGTAGTTCGGGAATCATTAATTTACCCATTAGTCAAGAACAATGAGTTAAAAGAGATTATTCAGTGAGAATATGTTAAAGAAGACCTGGCAAAGGAGACGGGGCAGTGGAAACCTACAGCTTAGGGATAGCTGGGAAGAACTGACAGGAGTGACAAAACAGTAAGAGAACTAGAAGAAAATCTAAACATCACCAAAGCAGAGTGAAGACCTTCAAAGGAAAAGGTTATTTCTTGGTTATTCCTGAGAAATTCCTCAGAAAGGATAATTATGGGGAAATCAGAATCAAAACCTTTGGCAAGGGGCCTTGGAGGACTCATATAAGAGCAGTTTCTGTGAATAAGGCTGACAATATCTGTCTGTAGGGAAGATGAAGTATGAACAAACACCAAAGCATTAAACTCACTGAATCTCAGCAATAAATATGAAAAAAATGGTTTAGTACAAATTAGATTTTTTTTATAAGTTATGCATTCTAAAAATAAAGGAAAACTAGAACAATGAAAGACAAAATGTCTTATAATGCCATCCATCCTAATACTAATCTCAATGTTTCTAAAACACCATGGGGTATTTCAATGTTGAATTTCAATTTTTATCTTGAGCTTGTGTGTGACAGGATTTTACTTTTGGCAGCTTGACAGTGATACTTGAAAGGGTCCCAAGACCTCAGTCGCCATCAGCTAGACAGATGGTCAAGGTACAAAGATATTTTGCAATGTATATTTTTTCCATAGAGGTCTTTTAAACCAAATGTTGTCATTTGAATGCTAAGCTTATTCTGCACTTGACTACTGAGGTATTCAAGGCATTTTAAAGCTCTCTTTATGTTTTAGCATCTTGAAATGAAGGTTAAGAAATAGATCTGACCTACCACAGACAGCAGTAAAGAAAAAAGCCAAAAAGTGTGCTTCTGCTAAGTTTACAACAAATCATTTCTATATTATAATCTTTTAAAATAAATATCCTGGGCCAAAGACATACTATAGCATGGAAGGCTGATGGCTTGCAGGTGGTTGACTTGGGTTCTATCCTGGGGATTCATATGGTCTCCCCTGCACCATGAGGAGTGATTCCTGAGTGCACAGCCAGGCAGAAGTAACCCTGATCAATTCGTAGTGTGACCCCAAACTAACTAAACAATAAATAAAATCAACATCCTCTGCTTTTTTTTTGAGTAATAATAAGATAGATGGCTGTGGCAATATTTAGAAGACAAACAGCTTGCCCTCACAAAGGTACTATTTCCTGAAGCAACAGTGATGCCTAATATTCTGCATAATATTTTGTTAGGTAACAAAATAATTGCTTTTATGAGAAAAAAATCACAGAGCAGAAATACAACTAGCTATAACATACATCAACATACCCACTGACATAGAAGAGAATGTATAAAATGAGTGAAGCTTTAAAATGATAGAGCTGGAAGAAAGTATGGAGGTCAGGGTACATGTCTATCCCGGGACTAATTCCCTGCACAACATGCACCTGGAGAATGAATCATTAAGTGCCACACTAGAGGGCCCCAGAGCATTGGCAGGGTGGCCCTGGTAATCTCTGTCACCACTTGGTCTGATCAGCATTGCATCATTGGGCAAATACACTGAACCACTGGCTCAGGTGGCCAAGAATTGCTGGTGGAGCACCCAAGCCTCCTTAGAATCACCTGGGAACACTCCCCACACCCAATAATAAAATAAAATGCTATTAATGACTTGCAAAAATAGTATAGTCTCATACTGTAAGGGATTTAAGAAATCCTGGCATGGAAATCACTTACCTAGTTCTTCATTTTCAATTACTTCAAAAGTGGCCCAGATATCACCTTTCAAAGGAACAATATTTTTTATTGCCAATATATCATTAGTCAATTCTTCTGCTTCCATCACAGGTGATATCTGTGAAAGAAGCAAAATTTTCAGAAGATACACCAGGTATAGTAACAGTTTTATGCCAGGTAACAATACTCTCTTGCTCATCATCATCTGATAATGCAATTTTTGTCTCAGTATGTTAAACTAGCTTCTCCAGCACACAGAGAAAACACATCTTTTCCATTAAAAAAAATCTTGTTAATGTAGAAAGAAGAGAAAATACAGACATAATAGAAACAAGCTTTTCAGACTTAGTAAGCCATTTATGACTCAGGAGGAAGTAATATGCCTTGTCATACGGAGAAAGACCTTTACCAAAGAGCAAACCTATGATCTAGAGTAAAGAGCCTCCTGGTTTTGGCTGCTCTGGGTGTACGCTGCCAGGCAGTGACAAATGGTGGGTTGCCCGAAGACCCTGGAGCCAGATTTCAGGGCACAGGGTAGAGTGTGCAGTGTGGGTCAGGGACAGTCTGTAAGAGGCCCAAAGTCTCAGGCCATTACATAGGCCAACCAGCTTCTTCAAGGACTCCGTGTGTTTGTGTTTCAATTTTTTTTTTTTATCGATCCTATATGCCCTAAACTGCAGGCTCAGTTTCTTCCAGAGAATGTAGTCATAATGTAGTCATAATGTTAAAACAAAAATAAAGGTATTTTCAGCATTATATATAACTGAAGCCTAGTATATGTTTTTCAATGAAGGTACGCAACTAGAAAATATTTTTTTAGAAAAAGAACATATTCAATTCTACTTATCCTGTCCATTACTAATCAATCACACATCTAAACATAGAAAAGTTTTTTATTATTACTAATTCATGTAGATTTTTCTTTTTTTTTAACTTCAGAATTTAGGGTTTTCTTTGGAATACATTTATAGAGAGGTCTACTGCTTTTTTATTTAGAAAAGCCTAATGGAGTTTAACATCAAAATTTGAAAAAATGAGCCCCTGGAGAGAAGGGGAGGGCACCTAGAAGCACACAGCGCGTGGACCTAGTCGTTACCATTTTCATACATAAGTGGATCATTTCAATGATGCTGTTGCCAGAATGAATGTACTTTTTTTTTTTTTTTGCTTTTTGGGTCACACCCGGCGATGTTCAGGGGTTACTCCTGGCTTTGCACTTAGGAATTACCCCTGGCAGTGTTCAGGGGACCCTATGAGATGCTGGGAATCGAACCCGAGTCGGCTGCATGCAAGGCAAACACCCTACCTGTTGTGCTATCATTCCAGCCCCAATAAATGTACTTTTAAAGAAGGATAGACCTTTCTCAAAGTAACAAATTTCTGACAAAAGAAACAAAAATGTGGACAGGGAATCAGGAAGATCTTCAGGTTAAAGCATGTTGAAAAGATCCAATTTCATTCCTTGTGCCAAAAGATTCCCTGGTGCCTCTTTAAGACACCAGGAGCTCAGCAGGGCACTGGCGGGAAATTACTAAGGAATATTCAAATTATTACAATGTATAATGAGTATAGTGGTCTGGCTTGTGTTACAGACCTCATGGCTTCTGGGGGCAGGAAACGTAGAGACACACCTGTTTTTTATTTTGTTTGGAGCCAGTGTAGCACTGGGATCTATCCCAGGATTCCCACTAGCATCCTGAGCTATCTCCTTGTACTCCAGCTTTCAGGTTTTTATACTTCCTAGTTTCCATTCATATAAACCTGAGGTGTCACCTGGTTTTATGCTCTCCTTGGTGTGAGGCTGTACTTATCTGAGAAAAGTGATTCTGAAAAGTCTTAAACATTGAAAAATATCAGTGATTATTTTTATATTATTTTTGTGATTTTTTTTACAGAGTCTGTGGAGTTGTTATAGGTAAAGCTGGGAATCTATTATCTAAACACCTTTTACATAGAATTTTGCTCAGTTATAAGAATTTCTGTTGTGGCTTTAATAATATAATAAAATTAAAATATGCTATGGTTATTTGTAGGTGGTGTTAAATCAGGAGTTGTAATTGCCTCTTCTTGCACTGAAATTGATAAAATTATGCTAACTAATCTGTAATAGTTTTTCATGTCCCCTACTAGCAACGATTGTTACATTGATGTCAACGATATGGAATAGCAAGGCAGCTTTGTCATAAGAACAAAGCCTAAAACTGCAGTATCTCAGTATGGTGTTTTGGGCTAAAGGCAATCAGAGCCTTAAAGCCATAATATGTATCATTAAAAGCATGCAAAATAGCAGTTATAATATATGTAAAATGACTAACATTGACAGATACCTATTTTTTGGGGGGGGGGAGGTGGGGCTCACCTGACGATGCTGTGGGCTTACTCCTGGCAGAGCTTGGATCATATGGGACGCTATGGGATGCTGGAGAGCGAACCCAGTCAGCCACATGTAAAACAACCTCCCAAATGGCTCAGCCCCCCAGAAATGCCTAGTAAGACTGTTAATCTTATCCGCTTAAAAAAAGATTAGGAATAAAACCCGAGTTTCTACTGTTACATGTCAAAACGTCTATTTCTCACAGAGAAAATAATCTTAATAAGCAGGAATCTAAAATATCACTAAATTCTTCTTCAGGCAGACTGTATGTCAGCATGAGGACCAATTTAATTCAGCTAACTAGATAATATTCTCAAACATGAGAAGTGTACCTAATATTCAAGCAAATTGAAGATCAGAAGCTAAAGTCTAGAATATAAACTTGGAGAATACTAAAAAAATAATCAATAAAGTAGAAAGTAATATTTAACATGCAACTGCTGAAGAATCTGTAAAGTACTTCACATGCATTATCTTACTGTTATAATCAATAAGTAATATAAATGCTGTAATTTCTCTTAATTTTTTTAAAGTATAAAAAAACAGACTCAGAAAAAATCAACTTGCATAATGTTGAGAAACTATGAAAAAGAGAATCGACTTTTTTCAGTTCAGGTTGTTTTCCAGAATCTACAGAAAATGTTACCCATAATTTATAGCTGTCCTCCTGTTGTTCATCGATTTGCTCGAGTGGGCCCAGTAACTGTCTCCATTTTGAGACTTGTTGTTACTGTGTTTGGCATATTGAATACGTCACGGGGAGCTTGCCAGGCTTTGCCGTGCGGGCAAGATACTCTCGGTAGCTTGCCGGGCACTCCAAGAGGGGCGGAGGAATCGAACCTGACTCGACCCGGCTGGCTGCGCGCAAGGCCTGTGTGCTATCGCTCCAGCTCCATAATTTATAGCACCTAACATAATTCTTTCCAAATGACTAAGCATGCATGGAATTTCAGGAGGATATTGCTATATAAAGCCAATTCATGTCATTAGTCATTATTTAAAGAGGGTGTGTAAAGTAAAAGCACAGTGGAAAATGCAAACATGTATATTAATGCAACTGTGTGATTTCCGAGCGGTAGCACAGCGGGTAGGGCATTTGTCTTGCACATGGCTGACCTGAGTTCGATTCTTCTGCCCCTCTCGGAGAGCCCTGCAAGCTACCGAGAGTATCCTGCCCATACGACAAAGCCTAGCAAGCTACCCGTGTGTATTCGATATGCCAAAAACAGTAACAAGTCTCACAATTTGTTGTGAGATGTTACTAGTGCCCGCTCTAGCAAACTGATGGACAAAGGGAGGACAGTGCTACTCTTTATATTTATCTTTACGACTTTCTGTTTATTTTTAGGACTCACCCGGATTATAATACTACGGTCAGGTTCCTTCCTTTCTACATACACTTCAATCAACAAATCTCCAGCCTGGGAAACCTGAAGAGGGTAGAAGTGAAGACAGTGAACACAGTGATGTTGCAAGAACACTCAAGAGATACTTAAGCTGGAATCATGCATGTAAGGAATTTTTAATAACAGAATGAGCTCAACTTGCCTGTGAATAGCTATGATGATACAATTTTATAGATGTGGTTGAGAACACGGTGTTTACACATAGGATATAACCAGTGACGATACCCGCAACGCAATTTTTAATTTTGTATTCAGTGATTTATAGTGCTCCCAAACGCCCTCACATTCTCACTGAAGCAACAAACCTGACCACAGTGGGAAATGATGAAGGCAAGAGCAGAAGTAAAAGTAAGAGCTTTTTTTTCTTCATATGACCAGAGAAACAAAATCAGAAGTGGAAGGGAGCTAGAGGTAGTTTTGCTCCAAGCTACAGTGCACATGTAATACTAACAATTAACAAGGAAAATACGTCTTATCAACTTTTCAGAGATGTTATGTTCATTTACTGGCTCTGAGGATTCATTTGGGTCAGATATGCATTAATGATACTAGTAGAGAAAATACAGTTAGCAATAAAAAAACAAATCTTAAAAAAATGAAGTGACAGAAAAATGTGGATGATAAAGATAACCTTTTAATTATCTTCAGTCAAGCACTAAGTGGTAAATTATTTGTGCTGCAATTATAGACCAAAAGACAAACCAGAGAAGATAAAAAAATTCAAAGCAAAAAGTATCACAAGGTACATTAATATGCAAAGAGCTAAATGAATCTGTGAAAAATGTTATTTTCCCCAAAATTCAGCAAAATTATGTAAAACCTCACAAATAACAATAACCAATCTTCAAAATGCTCATAATAGGGAAACAATAATTTTGAAGTTGCATTTTCCTCAGAAAAAAACATGATTAGTAACTGTGTAAGAAAAACATTTAAAATGCACTTTGAAGAAGTCTTCTTAACTATTCTGGCACTATAGATTTGGAAAACCTTATTTTCATTTTTTTCCTCCTCACTTTCAGTATAACACAAAAACACTAGGGGAAAAAACCAGTTGACATTTTTATTTTTCACTGTTTGCATAAACAACTCTCCAGGAAAGACACATTTTAAAAATTAAATGAGCAAACACAAAGAACTCATAGTAAAGCCAAAAATAAGAATAGCTAAGGAACTCAAACAGGGATAAGGCATAGAATTTGTCAGAATAACACTCCAGAGGAGAGTTTAAAATGGATTAGAGAAAAATTTGAGGAAATAAACAGATTCTTCTAAACTCTTCTACTGTTTTTTCAATTACACTACTTTCTAGGCAAGTGTTTTTAGTTTATTACACATAATTGGATAAAATCAATATGCTCGAGTGGGCCCAGTAACATCTCCATTGGAGACTTTGTTGTTACTGTGTCTGGCATATGGAATACGTCACGGGGAGCTTGCCAGGCTCTGCCGTGCGGGCGAGATACTCTCGGTAGCTTGCCGGGCTCTCGGAGAGGGGCGGAGGAATCGAACTCGGGTCGGCCATGTTGGCTGCATGCAAGGCAAACACCCTACCGCTGTGCTATCGTTCCAGCCCTGCTATCGCCACAGCCCGGATAAAATCAATATTATTGTAAAATTAATATCTACTATACAAATATACTTCAGTAACAAAATAGTTATGGTCACCAAAGATTATATCTGGACTTACACTCTCCAGTACTTCAAATACTCAAATACTCCTCCAAAAGCAAAAATGCAAGAGAATCCCAAATAAACAATTTTTCACTGTTATTATTAACTCCTCTGAAGACTGCACAAATAATTTGAGTCAATATGGAAATAATTCCTTAAGTAATTAATGTAATTAATTTTGGTACTTAAGTATAAATGCATTAAAATACTTAAGCTTTTCCTCATATCATTCAAATGAAATTATATTTCTGATAATTTCCCTAATTCAGAGTGGATTTTTCAGGTAAAGTCAGGGTTTGACTAAGTGAAGCATTTGCTTCATACTCTTGGTTCTATCAATAAAAAAATGTATTGAGCTATTTCTACTTATATTGATACCCTGAATCTATTACAGTTCCTAGCAATGAGAAGAAGATTAGAAATCACTTTTAAAAATCCCAGTGAATAATTGCCAAACAAGATAACCAGGAAAAAGTGTATTGAAACTTGACACATGGATTCAGTATAACATTGACTAAGGAAAGAAAGAGAAAATCTGGACAAAAGTCAACTTTAGACGTACATCAGCATATGTTGCAGAGGATACTTAGAAATAGTCTAAAATTTGCAATAATCTGGGAGCATGCAAGCAGAAGCACATGAGCAATAATTCTTTCCAAAAACCTAAGCAAAAATCATGAGGAATTTTGAGTTTTCAATTTAGTCTAGTGGTTCTTCGGCTTTAAATGCTTCCCTTGAAATCCACTGACATTTGTGAATAGTGCTTTTACATCTTAAAATGTATTTGACAAGTGATCTTGACAAGTTCAAGACTGATTTTCTGAAAAATTTCTAATAGCACAGTTGGTTATTTTGCAGATATGCATTAGTCTTCAAAAATTACACTACTACTGCATTTACTTTTTTTCCCCCATTACTTTACTTTGCTTCAAATATGACTTGAAAATAAATGAACAAATGTATTTACTTACAATGGAAGTTTTTGATTTTTGTATTACTCTTTGGACATCTAACTATTACTACTCACTTGAGTGTCTTTCCACTTGGTAATAAAGCTATTTTCTATGTCCATTTGTTTGACTTGGTCTTCTTTAACCTGTTCAAAATATAATTTCGGACATTCTAATAAAATACAAGGGGCAATGGTATTCATCCTCAAGTTCCTTCAGGAACTTAAAGACCAACAAGTTAAAAATAAATGAGACTGGCCATCTTAATCATCATGGACTCACATGGCTAGGTCAGCGCAGATGAAGTCCACATAACTGCTACCTCAAAAGGCCTAAAATATTTTATGATGATCCTATTTCAGAATGCAGAATTCATTAGGAAGACCATACTGCTAAAACCGCTTAACAGTAAAAGGATTGTTGATGGCTTGTTACATAAATTGAGAGATAAGACTCATTTCTTAAACTAAAATGTTCACTAGGTGAGAAAATTTCCATCACCTAAATATTTCCACTTCATTAAACCATGAAGCTAATCATTTGTTAACCTAATGGTACAAAAATAGAAAATAAAGAGAGCAAGCAAAGCCACACACTTTTTCAAATTATTTCATTTCTGAGCATGAGAATTCTTGCAGAGAAGTTGCCATTGATCAAAAACAGTGGACACATACAGAAAGAAATACGAAAGTAATCAAAGAGCAAGGTGATTCAAACTTTGGAGTCTATTCCTATATAAATTAAGGTTTGACTGTGATATTCATTTATTCTAAACAGTTTCATTCCCTTTTCTGAGAATACCCATGAATAGTTATCATAAGGCTCTACTAAGTACTCTACAAAGATTAACCCACTACATCTAGTCTATCCATTGCTCTAGAAAACTTAAGCAGTCTTAATAACATAGCACCAGTTCATGGAAGCCTCAAAAAAAAGTCAGATGGCAAAACTCAGATGCTGAAAGCTGTTTAGTGATAGAGCTAAACAGTTCACCCATGTTTCCCGTAAACCCTCCATTTATAAATCCTCGTTAATTTCCTTGAGTTGAAGCAAAAATGATCCCTATTCTAACATTTTTTCTAATTGTCAAAAATGTTAATTTCATAAGGAAGTTAATAAAAAGCTACCTACGTAGAAAAGATGAAAGAAAATACATAATCTAGGATATTTATCTAGTTTTTTTTTAAATATTGGGAGTTCAACTAAAAGAAAATCCTATAATGTTTTCAACTGCCTAATATTTTATTAAAAATCTATAAAATTAGTAATTTCACATCTCAAAGTGAACATAATACATAATGCAACTACAGATTAGAAAATCAGATATATAAACACCAAATACAAATATTTAGCCCAGTAGAGAACAGATGGTTAAAAAATACTTTAAGAGGTATGTAACATAAATTAATGGTTATAGTTAAGAAAGCTAGTTACATACAAAAAATTTTAGATCATAAGTATTCTTTATGTATTTTAAGCTTTCATAAAGACCTAAAAATTCTGTTATATGCATTCTTGTTTATAAAAAGTAATATTAAAATAATTTTAACAAGGACAAAGTATAAAATATTTACCTCAAATATTTCAACATAATAATTAATTAAGTCCTCAATTACATTCACTTCTTCACTAGTTTGTCCTTTAGTTTGAAACAAGCATGATGAAAAGACCAAGGCCAAATTGTGAGCATCCATGTGGTTGATTTCTGAGCATTTCTGAACCCTGTGAGAAAAAAGGATGGCTCATAAAATTTTCACGGATTAGATTAGTCACAAAAAGTTTATTTTTTTATGAACGCACACATTGAAGGCCTCTGATGTAAAAGGTGAAGTGATGATTTAAAGAACACTGCATGGTGCCTTTGCTCAAGCAGCTGGCAGTCCAGTTAGGAATAAAAGGGAAACAAAATATTGTGGCAGTAGACAGTAAGACAGGAGACAAAGCAGAACTTCATTTTAGTTCAATGGAACCCATTGCATCCAAACAATTCCAGCAATGGGACAACGAGCAACTGAGGTATATAGATGTGCTTGTAATGTGGTGCAAAATGATTGTGGGAATGAAGCACAAAAGCAGGAATGCAACACAGTATTAACAGAAAACAAGGGAGCGACAGTGCAGCAGGTAGGATGCTTGCCTTGCAAGCCTTACCCAGGTTCCATCCCCAGCACCATATATGACCCCCTGAGGCTGGTAGGAATGATCCCTGAGCAGAGTGCAGAACACAGCACTGAGCGCAGGCAAGTTTGGCCCAAAGAAAGAAACAAAATTTTTTTCCTTTTTTTTTTTTTAATGAATAGTGAGATAGTTACAGACTTACAGAAGACTTTCCTGATTACATTTCAGTCATACAATGATCGAAAATCAAAACCAAAACAAATAAGAGCAGAGCCTTCCAAATTCAAGGCAGAGAGCTGAGCTGAGCTTTCCAGAAATTAGATACCAATGTAAGGAAAGAGGTGGCAGCATGTGTTTGTATAGTTATTCGAAATTAATACCATATATTTTAAAAAGCACTTAATCTAAAAGGCACACTTCTAGATGAAACTATAAACAGCTTTTTATAATGAATAGAAAGTAACAATGAAACCCAATCTCTGGGATACAACCTTTGTACAAAGAGTATTTAAAATAATTTACATATGTAAATTCAAAACCATTTTTAAAAAAGACTACAGGCAATACCACAGTGAAAGGAAATTTATACTGACATAAGTGCACGAGATGAGAACTTATCACCAACTGCAGATAGAGCATCTGCTTAATTACCTACTTACACTTGCAAACTTTAAAAATATATACTAAACAAGAGAGATTATCTCTATCAAAGAAATAAATCAAGAATAAGGTCAATAATACTTGTCAATAAAGAGCAGAGACTGTGCTAGGTACAAGAAAAAGTGAGTCAACATGACAGCAATATATATGATAATGTTAGAAACTCATAATAAAAGACCAAATTGCATAGCAGAGACAGAGTAAGTGCAATCATCACATGTGATTTATAAGATGCAAAAGGAATTGCAACCTAACAGAAAAGAATGTTGTAATGCTGTAATTGTGGACACCCTCTCAAAGCACTTCTGTATTTTTATTACACAACACTGTAAACATCTGAAAAATTTATCTGCGTGTCTGCCTGTTACTAGAACCTAAGCATCTCAGACACTGCTGATTTAATCACACGGTAGTATGCAATAAATAGCTGGTGAATAGAAAAAGTAAATGTTAGTCATGGAGGAAGTGATATTCTATCTACAGCAGGGACAGAATTAAATGTTAAATCAGCCTGACCTTCTCCAAATTGACCTCTCAAAGTCTGATGACATAATTGAGCACTCCCACCTTTCCTAAGATGCTCTGCAAACACATTACAGGACAGGACTTCTCACCTCAGAATTCTACTTTCTGCAGCTGTATTAATTCCTGACAAAGAATGCAGAGTATTTCTTTGTCTTCATTTCTGGGTACACAAACACTCTCCCTTCTCATGATGGAACTTCCAAGTATTTCAGACTCAACTTGCAGAATTTCTTTTCATTTGGCTCTTCTCATGAGAAGCCAAACAGATTGCTTTCTAATTCTTTTTTCCTGACTCTATTTGAAGTTTTTTTCCCAGCCAATTCCACTTTAGAGGTTACACAACTTATGTGATCAGGTTTACTCCATATCACTTTAAGTCTTAATTAAAATCCAAATGTTTTTCCACAAACTACAGAGCCTATCACAACTTCCCGCCAGCCAACAACAAGCAGTCTCATTTCCGAGCATACCTATTTTCATAAAAAAAAGCACCCCTTTGCCAATTTCTCTTATCAAGCTTTCACATCCAATTTGTACATACCTTTAAATCGGAAGCATTTCTGACCCCGATACACACTCCATCAAATAATCCTCTTTAATTCCATCCCTCCCTCTACAATTTTCTATATGAAGGGCTGGAGCAATAACACAGGGGGTAGAGGTGACTCCTAGTTCTATGCCTGGCAATACGTGGTCTGAGGATGGCCCCAGGCATGCACCAGGTGACTGCAAAGGCCTGTGAGCACCACTGGGTGATCTGGGAAACCCTTGAAACCGCAGTGCCTGAGACTCTTCAGATACTTTGGCTCCTGCACTGAATGGCCTGGCTGATAGGCCAAATATTACCATAAGGGCCTATCATACAAGGCTCCTGAACACAGCTTAGATAAACCTGTTAATTTTTTTCCAATTAAGTAAATAAAACCAAGGAAAATAAAATATGTCCCAACGCATCCTAGACACAGATTTGAATCTATATATGATATTTACAAAAATTGCATGGTGAAGTGAGAAAATGAATTTTTGAGTAATGGAGTTTACATGTATGATAAATATCAATGGAGAGAGAGAGAGAGAGAGAGAGAGAGAGAGAGAGAGACCAAAATCTGAAAGACTTCTAAATACAGACTTCCAGTAAGGCACTTTTAGTAGATTTTAGTTGAATTTGATTCAAAGGAGTATTTTATTCATGAACGAAGATACTGCAATGTATTCTTATTAGTAATCATACTTATAAAATGTTTGTAATAAGTTCTGTCGCTACCAACATAGGAAAATCTTTTTGTTTTAACTTAAAAAGTTTTTTTCAAACATCTTCATCCATCAGATCTCATTTCGGAAATTACAGTTATAGTTCTACCCTCTAAATGAATGAACTTATATGCGCTGACACAGAAATAGTTTACTTTTAAATTCAATATTCAGACACTAAAATAGGAGGTTTAGATTAGTAAAAAAAATAAGCAAAGCGGTTTCAGACAACCATGAGAAAACAATCAGGCATATTCTGAGTTTGCAGAAGTCTAGGAATCGTCTTTCTATTCTCCAAAACCCTTTTAAAAAGAGTTTAGAAATTCTTGCTTATGGTATGGGAAGATAGTGTCTGTTATTAAATTCTAAGACACTAAAAAGTTCTCATGATATTTATCTAAACTGTGTATTTTTCCTATTCTTACTGACAGAACATTGCTGTAAGTATTTTTGGGTTAGGGGTACAATGTTAAAACACTATACCTACTGATATTCACTCCTCAAAGCATATGAAATGCAACGTAATTATAGAGGTGTTAAAATAATTCTTGAGAATTTCATTCTGAAATGATTTTTAAGGTACAGTGAAAGATTTTCAGTCACAGGAAAAAAGCTATCCATAATACTTATTATTTAAGAAGTAATGAGTTATTGAGATATGTATATATAAGTGTACACACACACACATGCACACACACACACACACACACACACACACACACACACACATACACACGGCCTAGAAATGTTTGTGTTTGGGAAATCACCTACCGGTAAAGATGTTCAATTATAGCTGCCAATGTTGCTCGGTTGACACCTGGGAGAGTCCTTATAAATGCTCCATATTTTTTAATTCTTTCTTTGTCCTCTTGGGTATCTGGCGATTTAAAAAAAAATCTTTATGTGCCTAAACTAGTATATAATATTGTAAAATTTCCTTTTAACTGTGTATTAAAACAGTATTTGCAAGTAGAGTTCACTAGTAATACATTCAAATTTCAACAGAAAAAATAGAAAAATATTACTTATGCAAACATTATACAGCTATATGCCACAGATCTTATACCTTATAATTAAAAGTAAAGCAATTTCAAAGCCCACGTTTGCATTAAAGTTTATTCTACTTTATGGAACACCAAATGTTATCTAAGAGAAATAAATTCTTAATTAAATTGAAATACAAATTGACAAGATACAACAAAGATATTTTATCTCTATTAGCAATATTCTTACTCGAGACTTGCATCTGAAAAGTGACATTTTTATTTTTGCCCAAATATAGTGCTTTTTATTTTTTTTTTCGTGAAACACCATGAGGTACAGTTGTAGATTTACAATTTTTTGTGCTTGGGTTTCGATTATACAATGATCAAATACCCATCCCTCCACCAGTGCCCATTTTCCACCACCATGGATAATATCCCTCCCACCCTCATACCCCCCATCCCCCCCTGCCTCTGTGGCAGGGCAATCCCTTGTGTTCTCTCTCTCCTTTTGGGTGTTGTGGTCTGCAAAGGAGGCATTGAGTGGCAAACATGTTCAGTCCATAGTCTACTTTCAACATGCATCTCCCCTCCTGGGAGGATCCTCCAAACACCCTTTATTTGATGCTCCTTCTCTATCTGAGCTGCCCTTTCCCCTAGAATGCCTGTCTGGCCTCTAAGCTATGGAGTAATCCTCCTGGTGCTGATCTCAGCTATTCTTGGGGAAAAGTGACATTTTTAAATCTCTTTTTTTCCTTGTGAAAAAAAGTGAGAAGTCTTCTATGAATCATCTCAGAGATATTATAAGTACATTATCCATACAAAGGACTTTTAACAGTCTTAGTATCTTCAATTCTTTAGAAAAGTTAAGTATGCAACAGATCAATTCACATGCGGGCCCTAATACATATGAAACAGGAAGATAAATCATCTGCCTCTGCAGTGGACACAACTAGGAGACATGGAGAGCAGGACCAGAAGGAATTACTCTTACCCTCTAACCAAGAAGGAAAACATTCAGAGAAACTAGAGCAATGTCCAATACCAGTGTTTCTCAACAGGGGGCAATAACACTCCAAGGATATTCCAAGGGTACTGGGTACTACAGGTGAAAATTATGTAAAAGAGGGGCCACAGCAAAGATTATGAGGCCAACTGATAGACTGATAGGATGTGGATGCACAAGTGGTTGGGTTTATCTACTAGGTCATTTTATATATATATATATATGTGTGTGTGTGTGTGTGTATATACACACACACACACATATATATAATGTCAAGATAGACACGTCTGGAAGTCAGTGCAGACTATATATATATATATATATATATATATATATATATATACACATACATACACACACACCTATACACACACACACGTATGTATGTATACACACACCTTCAAATAAATAACTGTATACTTTCTTTCCAAATCAAGGGGACTGAATTCCCAATAGCTTTAGAAACAAAATTCTTTTCTCTTCATATTTAACCCTAGCTTATGTAGTCAAAGAAAACTTGCAGCCGATTAATGATTCTACTGTCAACTATCCTCCCATTGTTCATTGATTTGCTCGAGCGGGCCCAGCAACATCTCCACTGTGAGACTTACTGTTACTGTGTTTGGCATACGGAATACGTCACGGGTAGCCTGCCAAGCTTTGCCATGTAGGCGAGATACTCTCGGTAGCCTGCCCGGATCTCCGGGAGGAATCAAACTAGGGTCGGCCGTGTGCAACCCTACCCACTGTGCTATTGCTCCGAACTATTAGATATAAACAAACAAACAATTTCTTCTTTCTTTCTATTTTTTTTTGTTTTTGGGCCATACCTGGTGGGGTTCAGGGCTTACTCCTGGCTCTGCACGCGGGTATTCAGGGGACCAAATGGGGTGTCATGGATTGTACTGAACCTGCTTAGCAGTGTGCAAGGCAAGCACCCTACCCACTGTAGAGATGCTTTGGCCCCAAGAACACAAAAACTTTTTAAGAGCACTGCAATCCCTGGCAATGCAGGGACCTTTATGACATATTTTAAAGTGTCACATATTCAATCCCACAACTGATAACTTATCTGTACTGATTTAGGCTGCACACAAGATCTTCAAAAGTAAAAACGGTCATTATCGGCTAAATTAAGCTAGTAGGTAACAGCCTAAAAGCAAGAGACACAATAAACACAATAAAAATATTCCTCAGGCACATAAAGAATTGTCTATCGTCCCTTATATAGCATGGACAGCACATATAGTTCGTATCCTTAAAATTTTAACAGGAGATGGTAACTAAATCTATTCAAATCTATTCAATAAAATACAACCAATGCCACTACAACAAGGAACCACATTAGTATAGACTACTTTGAGATATTTTATAAGGAAAAAAGCAGATATTTTCAGTGAAAGGCTTAAGCAATTTGCAAGTAAAACTTTAGATATATTTTAGGTCATACAGACAGTACAATGAACTATTCACCTAATACAGAATTTCAGACCTCTCAATGGTGCTAACTTAGGCTCTAACAACATTTGGAGAGTAAAAGAACAATGATCCCATGAATGGGTGTTACAAAATTGCACTGTACCATTTCTCATCTCAGGTGTACAGGACCCAAGGGAGCTCTGCTACAAGGTCACCCAGTGAGCTCTGGTTAATCCTTGTCAGAGTCAAGATAGACACGTCTGGAAGTCAGTGTAGACTACAGTGAACCTACAAGCAATAGACTTGATGGATCTCTGACCCAATGTTTAAATCCTTTTTCATGTAAATTCCCCAAGAATGCAAATCCAGGGCACAGTCTCTCTACAAAGATCTCTCTCTCTACGCACATCTCTACACATGCCATCTTCTTCCTACTATACTAATGGCAGTGAAGAGGATGTCCCTGGGGTTGACAACTTCAGAGAAAACATATTTGTCACCGGTTGTAGACATATCATTTAAAAAACAAGATAATGAAATACTACACAGATGTAATGAGGGATGAAATCCTGCAGTTTGCCACAACTTGGATGGAACTATCATGTTGAGCGAAGGACATCAGAAGAAGAGCAACAGACATCAGCCGAACTCACCTATCTGTGGAACCTTATCATTATGGAGCCTTGACTACACAGCTAAGGATAAGGAAGGAAAAGCGATCTGAAGGGGGAAAAGGAAGAAAAGGCAGGTGGAGGGAGGCTAACAGGAACCTATCAGGAACCTCAGGCACACAGGATGATAAGAGGCATTAGGTAACTATGTATCTGAACCAGAGAACCAATACAACTGAAAACAGAAGATCCAAACTACAACAAGCAAGGAGATCATTGGTGGAGGGAAGTTGATATGGGTGACATATAAATGTTGAATATTTTATACCAAAAAAAAATGAAAAAGAAAAAAGACAAAATAAAATAACATAGAATAAAGAGATCCAGGTCACCTTCAAAAAGCATGATTTTCTTCATTAATGTTTCACTATAATGCTGATAAGAAAAAATAACCCCAACCACTCTTAATTCAAGCGGCATCAACATGTTCTTGCCCCAGTTTTCAAGAAACTATTGATGACAATGTTCAAGATTTACTGTAATATTACTTACTGTTATGAATTACAAAAATGCTAAGGATTTACTCTATGTAATGATGCTAAACCAGGCTTCATGTTCTCTAGTTCCAATATTCTATACCCAGATATTATACAATGAGTTTTTTCCTGTGGTTAGTTTAACTTATTTGATAAATACAAAATCAAAACAAAATGAATAAAAAAAAGTTTTAAATTACATAACTGAGCTGTGAAAAAAGATTTGTTTAGTAACAATTCTTGAATATACTAATTTTTTTCCTAAAAAAATCCATTTTGGGGAGCCCCTTTGGCATATTTAGTGCTCAGGCAGTATTCAGGGTACCATATGTAGTGCTGGGGACTGAACCACATTGTTGTGAGCAAGATAAGCACCATACCTGCTGTACTATCCCTCTAGTCCAACAAAGATAATTTGTTATGTAATATTTCAAACAAAGATTGTGTTTTAACATCAATTCAAATTAATTCCTTCAAATATCACAATTTATGTTTTAGAGTGAATAATTTACGAATATCAGAAATAGTTTGTGCAGTCAAAGTCCAAGGTCATTTTTTGTTCATTTGCTTTTTCGTCTGGTTTTGGTGATTATACAAAGCCACACTCAGGGCTTACTTCTGATTCTCTGCTCCAGGATCACTTCTTAAGGGGTTCAGGGATCATGTGAGGTGCTGGATTTGAATCCAGGTCAGACACCTGCCACGTAAATGTCCTACTTGCTGTACAACCTCTCTGACCCCTCAAAGGTCATTAAAAAAATTCTTAAACAATAATAAGGAAATATGTTAATAAATTATGGTAAAATTCAAAAATTGAAAAAAAAATAAAGATTTGGATTGTTTCCTGGAGCTGCGGGACAGAGCAGATCCACAGGGTTGGTTTTTTAGCTAGAACTGCGGGGAACAGGAACATAGATGGACAGCACCAATAACAGACAACCCTCCTTTCCTCCTCCTATCCAGGTATTGGCCCAGCAGGGATATTTCCCAGAGCTGTGGCCACTAACACAGCTGTGAATTATTCTCCCTCTACATTCTCCATAAGAACTATAAGCTGGTCTGTTAGGTGGAACTTTCACTAGGGCATTTTGATTACTGGAAACACATTAGGCCGATAAGTCATTAGGCCGATAAGTCATTAGCCCAATAGGTCATTAACCCCACCTCAATTCATATTACACCAAAAAACACAATAGTAACAGTGAGTTTAAAGGTCTAAACTGAAAAGGTCAAAATGGTAAAGCAATGCAGAAGCCCACCAAGCTTAGTTAGTGAAGAGACTGGCCCAGAAGACCCCAACAGTAAGGAAGCTCTAAACAACC